CTGTATGTAGATGTCTGTCAGAATGTTGTGAGGGGATCTCAACAAACATGTCTGTTTGTAGATGTCTGTCAGAATGTTGGGAGCGCATCTCAACAAACATATCTGTATGGAGACGACTGTCAGAATGTTGGGAGGGCATCTCAACAAACATGTCTGTATGTAGATGTCTGTCAGAATGTTGGGAGTGGATCTCAACAAACATATCTGTATGTAGATGTCTGTCAGAATGTTGTGAGGGGATCTCAACAAACATGTCTGTATGTAGATGTCTGTCAGAATGTTTGGAGGGGATCTCAACAAACATGTCTGTATGTAGATGTCTGTCAGAATGTTGTGAGGGGATCTCAACAAACATGTCTGTATGTTGATGTCTGTCAGAATGTTGGGAGGGGACCTCAACAAACATGTCTGTATGTAGACGACTGTCAGAATGTTGGGAGGGTACAGTACGGTACAGTGCTGTTGATATATATGCTGTGAATACCACGACCGACGTATGTGTACGGTACAGTGCTGTGATATATATGCTGTGAATACCACGACCGACTTATGTGTACGGTACAGTGCTGTTGATATATATGCTGTGAATACCACGACCGACTTATGTGTACGGTACAGTGCTGTGATATATATGCTGTGAATACCACGACCGACTTATGTTTACGGTACAGTGCTGTTGATATACGCCGTGAATACCACGACCAGCTTATGTGTACGGTACGGTGCTGTTGATATACACTTTGAATTACACCACCGACCTGTATGTACGGTACAGTACTGTTGATATACACTTTGAATAACACCACCGACCTGTATGTACGGTACAGTACTGTTGATACACACTTTGAATAACACCACCGACCTGTATGTACGGTACAGTACTGTTGATATACACTTTGAATAACACCACCGACCTGTATGTACGGTACAGTACTGTTGATATACACTTTGAATAACACCACCGACCTGTATGTACGGTACAGTACTGTCGATACACACTTTGAATACCACCACCGACCTGTATGTACGGTACAGTACTGTTGATATATACTTTGAATACCACCACCGACCTGTATGTACGGTACAGTTCTGTTGATATATACTTTGAATACCACCACCGACCTGTATGTACGGTACAGTACTGTTGATATACACTTTGAATACCACCACCGACCTGTATGTACGGTACAGTACTGTTGATATACACTTTGAATACCACCACCGACCTGTATGTACGGTACAGTACTGTTGATATACACTTTGAATACCACCACCGACCTGTATGTACGGTACAGTACTGTTGATATACACTTTGAATAACACCACCGACCTGTATGTACGGTACAGTTCTGTTGATATATACTTTGAATACCACCACCGACCTGTATGTACGGTACAGTGCTGTTGATATACACCTTGAATACCACCACCGACCTGTATGTACGGTACAGTGCTGTTGATATACACCTTGAATACCACCACCGAACTGTGTGTACGGTACAATGCTGTTGATACACACTTTGAATACCACCACCGACTTGTATGTACGGTACATTGCTGTTGCTATACACTTTGAATACCACCACCGACCTGTATGTACGGTACAGTTCTGTTGATATATACTTTGAATACCACCACCGACCTGTGTGTACGGTACAGTGCTGTTGATATACACTTTGAATACCACCACCGACCTGTGTGTACGGTACAGTGCTGTTGATATACACTTTGAATACCACCACCGACCTGTGTGTACGGTACAGTGCTGTTGATATACACTTTGAATACCACCACCGACCTGTGTGTACGGTACAGTGCTGTTGATATACACTTTGAATACCACCACCGACTTGTATGTACGGTACAGTGCTGTTGATATACACTTTGAATACCACCACCGACCTGTATGTACGGTACAGTTCTGTTGATATATACTTTGAATACCACCACCGACCAGTATGTACGGTACAGTGCTGTTGATATACACTTTGAATACCACCACCGAACTGTGTGTACGGTACAATGCTGTTGATACACACTTTGAATACCACGACCGACCTGTATGTACGGTAGCAGTGCTGTTGCTGTACACTTTGAATACCACCACCGACTTGTATGTACGGTACATTGCTGTTGATATACACTTTGAATACCACCACCGACCAGTATGTACGGTACAGTGCTGTTGATATACACTTTGAATACCACCACCGACCTGTATGTACGGTACAGTTCTGTTGATATATACTTTGAATACCACCACCGACCAGTATGTACGGTACAGTGCTGTTGATATACACTTTGAATACCACCACCGACCTGTGTGTACGGTACAGTACTGTTGATATATACTTTGAATACCACCACCGACCTGTGTGTACGGTACAGTGCTGTTGATATACACTTTGAATACCACCACCGACTTGTATGTACGGTACAGTACTGTTGATATACACCTTGAATACCACCACCGACCTGTATGTACGGTACAGTGCTGTTGATATACACTTTGAATACCACGACCACTGTGTTGTGTCTGTCTTTTGGTAGTGGTAGTGGAAATCAGTAGGGACTGTCGACAGTTCGACAGAAGGGAATTGCACAGATGAGTGAACTCATGGTTATCAGCAGAAAATGACAATCAACACAAGAGTAAATAGTGGACACCGTTTATTCTGGGCCCTGGACATCTTCCCGAGGCAAGAGAGTTAACTGACTATTAAAGTCCTGTTTCTACCCTTGCCGAACAAGGCTGGTATTATGGAGTTACATTTCGGCTGGAGTCTATGCATAGTCCAATCATAATCGCGCACCGAAATCGAAATCCGGTTCGTAAACTGTCGTGCAGATTTCGGTTGATTGCAGGATTTGCAAAGCATGTGCACCACCAACTCGTTGTCAGCAGATATTTTCCAAATCTTGTCATGTTTTTAATCAAGGTGCTCACGTGATTCGATGCATTTCGCGATGTTAGACCCGTTTTATCACAATATAGATCTTAATCATTGATCAGATCGTCTTGACCATTTGGTGTGACGCAAACGCAAGTGATACTGGAGGTGGAATCTGATTGGTCCATAGGAGAGGCTTAGAAGGGACATACGGACTGTACGACGTTGGCAACGACGTGACTGGCAGAAGGTTGTGTTCACTGACGAAAGTCGATTCTGTATGTTTAGGGCTAATGGAAGACAACGTGTTTACCGCCGAAGGGGTGAACGAACGGCGGCGTGTTGCATGCAGGAGGTCGTACCATATGGTGGAGGGAGTTTCATGGTGTGGGGAGGGATCTGTGGGCAGGAGAGGACACCGCTGGTTATCGTTGACGGAAACTTGACAGCTCAGCGTTACATGGATAACATTCTTCGTCCAGTTGTCCCACCATTTCTCCAACAGCAGCCACGTGGTGTCATTTATCAGCATGACAACGCTGGAGCCCATACAGCCAGAATTGTAACTAACTTTCTCGCAGCCAACAACGTCAACGTCCTGCCGTGGCTTCATGGATCGTCGTGTTCGACAACGACCACTCTCCAGCCAACCGGCAAGAATTGATCTTGGACCTCCAAGAAGTATGGCGTCAAATCCCACGTGACCTCATCAGACGACTGACTTTTTCTGTGCGTCAAACAGTTTTTGCGTGTATTGAGGCATTTGGTGTTCACACACGCTACTAATGACTTGGTATTGAACGTGAGCGATTGTTTATGTACTCTGCCTATTGTCCATGATTCTGAATGCTCGAGTTTTGTACCACACCCAACTTTGGGGGGCTCTGACGTCATTCTCGGTCGCGGTATGATTGTCATTTTCAGTGTTGATTATGATGATATATTGATCTTCTCAATACACTTTACTTCATGCATGTATGTTTTGTTGTTTTTGAGCAAGAGTGATTTCAAACTCTGGTAAAGTTTCTTTTGGACGTCAGTTTATATTGGATAATTCATGAAGCACTAACATATATTATTACATTAAATTTCTCTGAACTTTCTTCACATTGTTGTTATATTGAACCATATTATACATTCATTTCATACATTTCAGCACTGATGTATAACATAATTTGTCAGCTTACACGACCGCACTAGTACAGTTCTTCTTGACCATGAGCGTACTCTCGATAGATTTAATCCAATCTGAAGACTGTTTGAAAAGGTATTTAGCCGGAGAAGATGTTTTGTAGTGATTCCTGCTTTAGATTTCATTGAAGTTGAAGTTGAGTTTGTGAAGATAGCAAATAATATTATTCAATCGAACCGTTATCACCCCATGCGATATCCTGGACTTCTGAGTCTACGGTCTTGTTATCATTTGTTGACTAGTTTCTATTCGTTCACGAATGAAGGGCTACTAGTATTACTTTCATGGCGCATTTCGGCTTGGTGTCGACACTCGCATTTATATAGTGGCGCATTAATTTCATGAAATACATAATTTACGTTTGCATCAGTGATTACTTTTTGGTTGGCCTTAGAACCTGAAGACATGTCCATTCCTCTTTTGTACTGGATTCCAAAGATCCATAAAAATCAGGACAAAGAGATATACATTGCTCAAGGTGATCATAAATCCGCATGTTCAGTCCATTACTCTCTGTATGTAGTTTCCGGCATAAGGGTCGGTTTTAAACTTTTAGCTTAAAAATACTGAGCTGAGAATTGAGAATTTATTTCTTCAAGACACTTTTTATATGCTTTATAAATTATTTAATCCCATATATGACACTTTTTATATGCTTTATAAATTATTTAATCCCGTATATATATACTGTGCATCTCCTTTAAACAAAACAACTTAAGTGATGCGACATATATGATTAGTGACATTTAATTTGACTCAAATGTACTATACTCAAACAAAAGGCTACACTTTAGTCGAGTTACCTTACCGATTGCTAAAACCATAGAATAAAAGACTCCTTTTTTTTAAATCACGTCTTAATCAAATTTCTCCTATAAAAAAGGAACGTATAGATGTCAAAGATGGTGAATACCTACCTTCTACCAGCGGTACATGCACCAAAAACAGAAGTGCTGCCAGATAGGCCGCATCCATGACGTACGCCAACGGATATTTCCTGCCGAGAGAGCAGTCGCACCTGTATCTCCGTACCTGTCAGACACTTGATTTCTTCATCCCCCGGCGGTCGATGTGCTTTGGAATGTGAAACATTGATTGACACGTCCACATGTACATGGGCATCCATACACCTTGGCATACATGTAAATTATTTAGGCCTCAGTGGCATTGCTCTCATGTTTTCTAAACTGTACATGTGTATTGGGAGAGCACCAAGTCGATACATAATGTAATGTTTAGCTGTGTTGTACTGCAATGACACAATATGAAATATAACTATAATTATTAACTATTCGGTATTAAGTGAGGATAAGAAATTTATGGATGAACAACTTCTTTATTACAATAAATATCTTATCCTCACTTAGTACTCCAACTTCTAAATGCCTATCAAAGAAGTTATTCGGTATTACTTTGCGTCTTGATATTCCAGAAACCCACGTATGTGTCTCCACCAACTAGAATCACTGAACTAATGTTGTTTCACGTCACACTCAAACGTAATCTAGCTATATTACGTGATCTGTATATAATCGAGTCAATGACCGACACACCGCGGTGATATGGTACAGCGATTCAACCCTCATGAAACTCTGGATCCTTCAGTCTAACGTTCAGTGTAGGCACATCCTTCACCGTTGAATAAGCAAAGACCGCAAATACTGACAATAGCTTTATTACAAAACAAGATATAAAACAAACACATGTCCAACACTGACAAACGTGTGCATCAAATGACACAAACATTCTTTGTTTGAAGTTTAAGGGATTTCCCAGGATATGAATGGTTATTTGCCGCATACATGACTCGTTTCTCAAAAAACGTCAAAAAATGACGTTTTCGTTTTTTGACCGGAATCCCCGAGTGAAACAATTCTCTGTCGTCTCCCCGGCAAACCGGGTCCGTAAGGAACGACAATACCTCTCAATAAATTATATTTCAGGCCTAAAGCGGCATAATGTCACGCGGAATATTCAACAACTAATTTCATATTCAATGTGTAAAAAATCCAAGCTCCAGTTAGTCCGTCAAAAGGCCTCGGTTTGATGAACGGCGGTCATTTGTCGCAGTTGAACAAATGCTGTCATGATTTCTTTTTAATTTAATGCTATTGAATCCAACACACTCTAACAACTAACATAATTATGTTGATAGAAAGTCATTTCTGATGTTAAATTAATACAAGTAACACCCGTTGATTAATAATGAGTTGTGTGTCTATTTATGAAACTATTGCTATTTTTCGCATTGGTGTGAAGAATACACCCGCAATTGGGCCATTGCATTCCGCGTAATTGTAACATAAATTGCCTGAAATGTGCGTCACTGTAACATCTGCATCCCTTAAACTTCAAAGTGCGAATTTATAAGATATGAATTTCATAGCGTGCTGGTTTACTGAAGTATAGATCTTTGGACACTCACCTCCAGGTTATTTCTAACTACAGTAAAGTACGGTTATAACGAACACGCTTATAACGAACTGACGGATATAACGAACTACCTTTTTGCTATTTGCTGTAGTTATGCTGTATATATGCTTATAACGAACTACGGTTAAAACGAACTTAAATAAGTAGTCCCTTTGAGTTCGTTATAACCGTACTTTACTGTATTGTGCTCAAACTGATTTTTAGAAAAATAGCATTACGAATTGAGATGATGTGATTAAACCTGAATATCATGATAATGCAAAATGACACACGTTCCACATCTTCCTAAACATGATCAAAGTTGTTACCACATCTCATTTTGTTTCAACACCTCATCCCGAAGATTCTTAAAGGTGATTCACGATCTAATGAAGAGATGGACATTGGCCACAAGGACGGAAGCTGACATCGCGCAATCCTATGATGAGATGACGGCCTCCGTGGTCTAGTAGTAGATCGTCCGCAGGGGTGCGGAAGGTCTGGGGTTCGATCCCCGGTCGCGTCATACCAAAAGACGCTAAAAGATTATACTTGTTGTTACCCTGTCTGGCGCTCGGCATTAAGGAGCTAAAACAAGGACTGGTCGGCTCGCAGTCAGTATACTCTATCAAAGTGGGCTAACACAATACAATCGGCATTTGTTGGGACTAATACAAGTAGCCACTCACATGCACACACACGTGCATGCACGTCGCTGTATTAGTGCAATAATCTTGGACGTGACGTTATATTCATTTAACCTCACCTATTGTTATAATTGGACATATCATTGCTTCGTTGTTTTAACATGGCAAATAAGGAATATACTCTTTATGAATGTTCCCTTCTCTTGCCAAAACATAGTTTTAATATAATTTAATTCAATTCAATTCAGTAAAATATACAACTAAAATAGCTGTCCATTGTTTGGACTTGACGCTTCGTAGAGCCGAGTTTATTTGAGAGTTTGAGTAGCCAAATTTCTTCTGGGCCAACGAGGGGGCACGGGTGGCCCAGTCGTCTAAGGCGCCTAAATTCGCCATGCAGAGTTGCGTCCCTTGGGCACGCCAGAAACCTATGATTGTGGGTTCGAATCCCGGTTCACCCCGATTATGGTTCTAGGTTTGTCAGCACCATACCCGTGCTCGTGGGTTTCACCAAAGCGGTAAACGTCAAAGACCAGCATCACTTCGGGCTTTCCTCCAACATTAAGCTGACACGCCTATTACTGCAAGCATGGGTTGCTGAAGACCTATTCTACCCCGGATCTTCACGGGTTTGAGTAATAAGGTTAAATGAATGAAGCATAGTATGCCTTGAGAGTTACGCGTTACCATAAACATGGCAATTAAAATAATTACACAACCATACAACGATGTCACTGCACAGCAACGCCCACAACCACGACAACACTGTCACAGTACGGCGACGACCACAACTACCAGGTAACAGCACGACGACAACCTCGATGTCACGACACAATGACGACTACGGCCACGTTGGCACGGTACATGGTTGACAACAACCACGATGGTTGTAAGGTGGGATTAGTGTCAGTGTCCAACACAGGTACTTGTAGCTCGGGTCCATTCGGGTCCATTCGGATCTACTCGTTTCCACTCGGCCCATTCCACTAGTTTGGAAACCAGCCGAGGGAGGTGCTCGCATCATTCGGATCATCTATGCTGCGCCGTGCCTTAGCTGTTCAAAATCTGATGTGTAGTTCTCATAATAGTTTAAATGTTCAAAATAAGTAGAACATTATATAGTTTTAAAAGATATACAATCTGCACAAGGGATGTTTACAAGTATGTTTTAGATTACAAGTCTCACGCATGGTTTGCAGGGATAACACATTAACACACCTTGAGATCTAACTCCCGTCCTTTCCGTGGTACATAAGCTAAAAAATAATCATGAAGCTCCATCGTCTTCCTTATTTTCAGCAGCCTTAAAGACTACGATCAGATGTTCTATCACTTCATATTTTGTAAATGGGGACCGGTTTCATCTAGAGAGATGAGGTCGTTTTTCCTTTTGGCGTTCGTTTTGGCCAACCATATTTGGGTCCACACGTAATAGTAAGAGGCGATATGAGCAGCATTGATGCAAACTTAATTATTTGATTGGGGTTTTTTTATTTGTTGGTTCAGAATACTGTTGAGAGAGATAGACATTTAGAGAACGTTACACGTTATCCTGACTTTAAACGGTGCTCGTGTCATAGTTGCCAAGATGAACGAATTCTAAACCTACTGATCACATTTTAACCCTCTAGTTACGAATGTAATACCTCTCGTGAGAACTTGTAAGAAATATATCAACGAGGTTCTGCAGCTCACTTTTCTGGAATTATTATTAGATCAGAAAGGTCATATACGGGGAGAATAGAATAAGAAAATGAAATACCCTAACTCTCTATCCGTTAAACAGACATTCTTACAGAATGGTCATTAAATTACATAATCGTACTTGCATAACTGGCTATGCAGAGGGTCAAGTTATATTTTCATCATGACCATGACACGATTGGCAGCAACAGAACATAACGGTAAAAAACTGAAGTGACACCACATAATTACTGAATGTCCAATTTCTTACTGATACACGCAGAAATAGCTGAGCAATGGGCAAACGTTAGATTTCAATATGACAGCCATGTTTCTAGATGGTCAGGATGGCGTGAGGAGCTCCTAGAAACAGTGAATGAGTTTGGTTTCACGCCGCTTTTAGCAATATTCCAGCACTATCACGGCGAGGACACCAGAAATGGGCTTCACACATTGTGCCCATGTCGGGAATCGAACCCGGGTTTTCGGCGTGACGAGCTAACGCTTAAACCACTAGGCTACCCGACCGCCCCTCCTAGAAACAACACCAAATGGATCATAAATATACACCTGCAGCTATTCACCCAAGAATGTTTTGTTAGCTTGTTTGTTTGTTTTTTACCGCCGCACTCAGCAATATTCCAGATATATGACAGCGGTCTATAAATAATCGAGTCTGGACCAGACAATCCAGTGATTGACATCATCAGCATCGATCCACGCAATTGGGATACGATGACATGTATCAACCATGTCAGTCAGCCTGACCACCCGATCCCGTTCGTCGCCGTTTACGTAAGGCATGGGTAAAAGTAGTGTACAAGTGTAAAAGTAGATAAGCAGGCAAAAATAACATTTCCAAAATTGCTGCGGTGGCAGATCGGAATTCTGTGAGTGCTTTTCAGAGGCACCACAGCATGGATCAAACATCGATAGACGTATAGTTTCAGAGTAGAGTGGAGGTTAACGACGGACGTATATGTAAAGTGGACGACGACGGGTGGACGACGAACAACGCGCCAAGATATCAGCTCACTTGATTTTCAGTCACGTGAGCTAGAAATTAAGGGCCATTGTTACTAATGTTCTACACCCCTTGTGAGAATTTTCAACATTTTGTGAAATTATTGTGAATTTTTTGTGAGAACTCTCAATCTGATTTTGAAGCTAAGGGCACGCGTGTATATCATATACGGCAAGAACACGAGCATTTGTGGAGTTTAGTATGTTGACTAGGGGCTGTCGAAGACGGGATCCTCTTGGGTTACTTCATCTGAAAAATAGTTTTTAAATCTCGTGACATGAAAATATCAAAGTTGTCAGATCACTCGATAAGATAAACATTTGATTTATCACGAAAAGCCAAAAATCTTCTGTATCTCTTCCAGTGATGTGTGGGGGCACGGGTGGCCCAGTCGGCTAAAGCGCCGCAATTCGCTGTACAGAGTCGCCTCCCTTGGGCACGCCAGACACCTACGATTGTGGTTTCGAATCCCGGTTCATCCCGATTATGTTTCTAGGTTTGTCAGCACCATACCCGTGCTCGTGGGTTTCACCGAAGTGGTAAATGTCTAAGACCTGCATCACTTCGGTCTTTCCTCCATAATTAAGGTAACACGCCGTGATATAACTGGAATATTGTTAAAGGCGGCGTTAAAGCAAACTCACTCACTCACTCACTCGTGATGTGGCAAAGTTGACATTGCATGAATGACACAACCATGTTTGAAAATGTCAACTTTCTCAGGCCTCGGGGTTAGTTTAATACTTTATTTGACTCGAAAAGCCAAAAGTTCATTTTAGTACTGACTATTTACTTCCTGATCTTAGATTAAAAAAACATATGCGATTTTGGCTGACGAAAATAGTTCCGGCAAAAAGTGTTATTTCAATGCACACCCTGGCGCAGGGATAACTTAGCCTTACAACAAAGCCACAAGCTAATCTGCATATCACGTGACTTGATTTTTCTCTTTTTCACTGTAAACAAACACGTTTATTCTGAAATCAGAGCAGACTTGCATAATAGACGCATATTGTTTTGCGTGATTATATAGATACGCTAATACAACTGCAATAATGAGAAGCATGACAATATATCTTTACACATCAAAGGGACCACATCACTAGCCCTTCTTAGGACTTCGATGACAGCACGTTGAGCTGTACTAAAAGGATAAATACGCAATTGGAAATAGTTTATGATATTTTCTCTTTGAAGATTGACCATTTTATGTTTATCTAAATATGTATACATTTCAATAATGTAACAAATTCAAAACATATGTAAAGTGTTGAATGGACAGTGTAAGATGTGACAAATCGTCACATCTCGCTGTACCATGGGTCATGTACTATGATGACCGCAAGGAACTCTGGGTAGGAGAGTAGTTTCAATATCATTGTTAATATTTCAGCATTGAAGTTACATTTGGTGACCTTCATCAGCTGTTGTGACGTCAGTGCCTTGCGTCAGCGAATTCTATGAAGCACGAAACGAACTGTATTCTGGGAGAATATTTTAAAGGTTCATTCATGCAATAAAGTGTGTTAACTGTTTAACGCCGAACACATTATCCAGCTATATACGGAAGAGAGGACCAGTAATTTAGTTTTAATGACAGAAAAGGTGCCAGTACATATATGAATATATAAATGTGTTCATTAATACATGTGTACACAATGTACAGAATCAAATATATTCAGAAAATTGAGAAACAGGTTTCTTCAAACGGGTTTGAAGATATGAATGAAACATGTTGGTTTGGAAAATACTATACTGTATATACTATGATTCTATTAACCTGTTAAAGATAATCCGCTGGGAAGAGAGGACCAACAGGTCATTAAACGTGTCTGGGCAGTGGGTCAAGCTGGAGGTGGCATGGTCAGGTGGAGAAAGTGTCCGAGACACCATCTCACGAGACTTTGATCGAAACTACAACACCGTCAAGATATTGGATGATCTGGTTAAAAAAACTCAACACGGGGAGGATAAACAAGGAGGTGAGTAAAACCCTGCAGTTGCTCTACTGGGACCAGTGGTTTATGTAGCTTAACACGATTTGGGAGTAAACAGGCAGTCCTCCCAGATTTCCACTGGTGTCAGTCGGGACTGGCCATGTGCCATATATTCATGGCTTACTACCTTGGAGATTCAGGGTTAGGAAGTCCCAAGTTGTGTTTGTTTGTTGTTTAACGCCGCAACCAGCAACATTCCAGCTATATGTCTGTAAATAAACGAGTCTGGGCCAGACAATCTATTGATATTATGAGCAACGGTCACCAAGCCTGACCACTCGATCCAATAAATCGCCGCTTATGACAATCAATGGTTCCAGGTTTAAACATGTTTACGACAAAATGAATAGCATTGTGTATAATCTAAATATGTTTAAATATAATGGGTCATTGGGTAATAATTCAAATATGGTTAAGATGTAAAATATTTATTGAAATTAGATATGCAAATGAGATTCACTGGCACTTGCATATCACATTAACGACATTATTGCGGTAAGACTAATAACACACAGGAACCGGAAGTTGTCAATTACAGTATATCAGATTCCGACGATAGAACTTTAACATTCACAACCCCAAACATCAATTCACTTAAGACTCATTCTTCGGGTGTTTTATTCAGCATGTTTGATACATTTGTATACTAATTCATAGATGTATGTTTGAATTAGAATTTTTTAACTCTATCTACACTTGGCACAAGAACCTACGGGTTGGAGGATCTTGATAACTCAAACATTGAATTGTACTGATAAACTAGTATAGACATCAGTTTAGTGGATGGATCATAAATCCAAATGAGTCTCACCAAAGTACCTGCAACATTTCACGGCTTACCTGAATGTGGCAAACTTAACAATCACTCATCCCTGGTTCAATGAAGACAGGGATAAGAAATGCATTTGCAACCACACGACTACTGCCATGATTGAAATACAATTTTATTTATTTTCAAAGATTGATTTTCAGCAGCAGTGTGTATTTTGTGATTATTGTTTGTATTGTTGTAAACGTTGTAAATAGTTGGACGGAAGGGGAAAGAATAACTTGAAAATATAATGACACATCGTCCCTAGGTGGATTCAGAAATACAGTCCAATTCACTTGCTCAAGTTTAACATAAATATCTGAATTATCAAAATTTATACAACGAAAACTACAAACCTCCAGCTGAAGCTTGCTCGGCCACAGTGGTAATTTCAGTCGTTAATGTTGGTGTCCAAGTGGACGACACGTTTCCGGTGTCGTTCGAGTGGTGTTCTGTAGAAATAAAATGAAATCATCATCAATGAGCGTAACACTTATCCGCTCTACCACAAGACCACGGAGGCGGCACTTTCCTCAAATGGATCCGTTTAGCAGACTTGTATAAAAAAAAAAGAAAAAAAGTGTCTGTTATATTCAGGTGTGCCTTAAAATTATGTTGGATTTCCTCTAGAGTCATTCGCTTTCCAAACTTCATATGGAAATAAACTACCAGGCAAAGATGGTGGCTAAAATGAAACTATGAAACTTCTAACTGTGCTGCCAAATGACTGAAAACACATTCTTTTTATTCAGGTAGGCTTCTCAGTATGTTGGATATATGTGTGTACTCATTCATGTTTGAATTAGAAAATTGTAAATCTATCTTCTTTGAGCACACGATCCTATGGGTTGGAGGATCTTGATAACTCAAACATTAAATTGTACTGATAAACTATCATAGACATCATTTTTAGTCGGTTGATCATAAATCTAAACGGTCCTCACCAAAGTACCTGCAACATTTCATGGCTTACCTGATTGTGGCAGGCTGTCTGATGGAGCTGGGATGGGGTCCAACAAGCCAAGGAAACTTATTTTCTGCATTGACGGTGCAACCTGGCCTGGAAACATTGGAAGCATAGGAAACTTAACTATCACTCATCCATGGTTCAATGAAGACAGGCATAAAAAAATGCATTTGCAACCACACGACTACTACCATGTTGTAAATTTGAGAAGAAAAATACAATTTTATTTATTTTCAAAGATTGATTTTCAGTAGCAGTGTGTATTTTGTGATTGTTGTTTGTATTGTTGTAAACGTTGTAAATAGTTGGACGGAAGGGGAAAGAATAACTTGAAAATATAATGACACATCGTCCCTAGGTGGATTCAGAAATACAGTCCAATTCACTTGCTTTAGTTTAACATAAATATCTGAATTATCAAAATTTATACCACGAAAACTACAAACCTCCAGCTGAAGCTTGCTCGGCCACAGTCGTAATTTCAGTCGTTAATGTTGGTGTCCAAGTGGACGACACGTTTTCGGTGTCGTTCGAGTGGTGTTCTGTAGAAATAAAATGAAATCATCATCAATGAGCGTAACACTTATCCGAAAGGAACTGGGTTTCTTTGAGAGTGAAGGAAAAACACTATCAAGTATCAAAGGAACAATTCAGATGATCATCGGGTCGTCTTTGCATCCTAAATGTGGGCCTTAACCAGGAAAGAGCTTTCAACAGTGCCCATGGTCACATTGTTGAGTTGTGTCATTTTTCCTCAAAAGGTGAGGTGAGGTGAAATTGGGTTTAACGTCGCGTCCAAGATTATTGCACTTATATAGCGACGTGCATGCACGTGTGTGTGTGTGGCTGATTGTACTAGTCCGGACTGATGCCGATTTATAGTGCTAGCTCACTGAGATACCATGCCGCAGTTTAACATGAATACCCCACTCAGACACAGTATACTGACTCCGAGCCGACCAGTCCTTGTTTTAGCCCCTTAATGTCGAGCGTCAGACAGGGTAACAACAAGTACCATCTTTTAACGTCTTTTGGTATGACGCAGCCGGGGATCGAACACCGGACCTTCCGCTCTCCGGGCGGACGCTCTACCACAAGACCACGGAGGCAGCACTTTCCTCAAAAGGATCCGTTTAGCAGACTTGTATAAAAAAAAAGAAAAAAAGTGTCTGTTATATTCAGGTGTGCCTTAAAATTATGTTGGATTTCCTCTAGAGTCATTCGCTTTCCAAACTTCATATGGAAATAAACTACCGGGCAAAGATGGTGGCTAAAATGAAACTATGAAACTTCTAACTTTGCTGCCAAATGACTGAAGACACATTCTTTTTATTCAGGTAGGCTTCTCAGTATGTTGGATATATGTGTGTACTCATTGATGTTTGAATTAGAAAATTGTAAATCTATCTTCTTTGGGCACACGATCCTATGGGTTGGAGGATCTTGATAACTCAAACATTAAATTGTACTGATAAACTATCACAGACATCATTTTTAGTCGGTTGATCATAAATCTAAACGGTCCTCACCAAAGTACCTGCAACATTTCACGGCTTACCTGATTGTGGCAGGCTGTCTGATGGAGCTGGGATGGGGTCCAACAAGCCAAGGAAACTTATTTTCTGCATTGACGGTGCAACCTGGCCTGGAAACATTGGAAGCATAGGAAACTTAACTATCACTCATCCATGGTTCAATGAAGACAGGCATAAAAAAATGCATTTGCAACCACACGACTACTACCATGTTGTAAATTTGAGAAGAAAAATACAATTTTATTTATTTTCAAAGATTGATTTTCAGTAGCAGTGTGTATTTTGTGATTGTTGTTTGTATTGTTGTAAACGTTGTAAATAGTTGGACGGAAGGGGAAAGAATAACTTGAAAACATAATGACACATCGTCCCTAGGTGGACTCAGAAATACAGTCCAATTCACTTGCTTTAGTTTAACATAAATATCTGAATTATCAAAATTTATACCACGAAAACTACAAACCTCCAGCTGAAGCTTGCTCGGCCACAGTCGTAATTTCAGTCGTTAGTGTTGGTGTCCAAGTGGACGACACGTTTTCGGTGTCGTTCGAGTGGAGTTCTGTAGAAATAAAGTGAAATCATCATCAATGAGCGTAACACTTATCCGAAAGGACCTGGGTTTCTTTGAGAGTGAAGGAAAAACACTATCAAGTATCACAGGAACACATTCAGATGACCATCTGGTCGTCTTTGCATCCTAAATGTGGGCCTTAACCAGGAAAGAGCTTTCAACAGTGCCCATGGTCACATTGTTGAGTTGTGTCATTTTTCCTCAAAAGGTGAGGTGAGGTGAAATTGGGTTTAACGTCGCGTCCAAGATTATTGCACTTATATAGCGACGTGCATGCACGTGTGTGTAATTTCAGTCGTAATTTCAGTCGTTAATGTTGGTGTCCAAGTGGACGACACGTTTCCGGTGTCGTTCGAGTGGAGTTCTGTAGAAATAAAATGAAATCATCATCAATGTGCGTAACACTTATCCGAAAGGACCTGAGTTTCTTTGGGAGTATTATAGATATCGTTTTCAGTTGGATCATAAATCAAAACGAGTCTTACCAAAGTACCTGCAACATTTCACAGCTTACCTGATTGTGGCAGGCTGTCTGATGGAGCTGGGATGGGGTCCAACAAGTCAAGCAAACTAATTTCCTGCATTGACGGTGCAACCTGGCCTAGAAACATTGGAAGCATAGGAAACTTAACAATCACTCATTCCTGAAACAGTTTGTAAAAGGTAAGCTGGATAATGTTGTGTAAAAATAAAGTGGTTCAATAAAGACAGGGATAAGAAAGGCATTTGCAACTCCACGACCAGTACCATGTTTGAAATATTGTAAATTTGTGAAGCAAAATACAAATTTATTTTCAAAGATTGATTTTCAGTAGTAGTTGTGTATTATGCGATTATTGTTTGCGTTTTTTTAACGTTTTAAATCAGGTTATATTTTTAAAAATACAACGACGTAGAAGTATTCTTTCAGTGCTGACTAAGCACCAGTTGTTCACTGATATGATATAATCTCGATAACTTGAGATATTTTCAATTGAAAATAAAACATAGGAAAACATTATCCAAGAGGTATAGTTTCTTGTTTTCGTTAGAGGGGGGGGGGGGGGGGGGGGGGGGGGAGAGAGTTGATACATATAAGTATCATATAGGTACATATAAGTATCATATATGATACAAAGATATGTTATTTCAATACTAGTGGCTAGTGTCCTCAATAGTTGGACGGAAGGGGAAAGAATAACTTGAAAATATAATGACACATCGTCCCAAGTTTGATTCAGAAATACAGTCCAATTCACTAACTTTGGTTGAACATAAATATCTGAATTTTCAAAATTTATACCACGAAAACTACAAACCTCCAGCTGAAGCTTGCTCGGCCACAGTCGTGTTTTCAGTCGTTAATGTTGGTGTCCCAGTGGACGGCACGTTTCCGGTGTCGTTCGAGTGGAGTTCTGTAGAAATAAAGTGAAATCATCATCAATAGGAGTAACACTTATCCGACAGGACCTGGGTTTCTTTGGGAGTGAAGGAAAAACACTATCAAGTATCACAGGAACACATTCAGATGATGTCGGGTCGTCTTTGCATCCTAAATGTGGGCCTTAACCAGGAAAGAGCTTTCAACAGTGTCCATGGTCACATTGATGAGTTATGTCCTTTTCCCCAAAAAAGATCCGTTTAGCAGACATATATACAAAAATGTAAAAAAAAAAAAAGTGGCTGTTGTATTCTGGTGTGCCTTAAAATTATGTTGGATTTCCTCTAGAGTCATTCGCGTCCCAAACTTGTCCCAGACAAGCCGAATAACGACCAGTGCCCCTCTCCTGGCCATTTTTGCGACCGGGTTCCGTCTTAGCGCAAATTGGCATACCTAAAACAATTGTCAACTCGTTGCGTTATGCTTCACAAATATATCCCCATATATTATTTATATTTCAGATGCAATTTAAAGCATATCTGGACATGCGGAATTTTACAGTATGATTGAACACATTTAGCTGTGTCTTGGGTATATTTTTAGAAGCAAGACATGTGTAAAATCAAAAATTATTTCTGAGGGATTCTTTGACGAAGAACTTGAAATCATACGCGCATTCTGATTGGTTGGTCTTTCAGGTTACGGAAAGGGGCGAGTGGTGACGAATGGGGGAACCCGGGGTCCAGATAGTCCTCCAGCTTTTCTTTGACCACTAATATATTTTCTTGTTTCGTAATTGAGTCAAATTCATATACGTTTACTATTTGACGTTCTGTTGTCCGACATTTTACTCTTATGCATTATTTAATAATAATTATTTTACCTCAAACTTAGATGTCAATTATTGTAACAAAAGCACAGGGCAAAAGACAAAATATTTTTGATGGTGTACTGCTGCCGCGTGCAGAAAGAGAATCACTTTCAGGCCAAATGTTGCTTTAGATAAAATGAATGGATGACTATCTTTAATGACACATGGTCCCGTATCGTTGATGTAAAGGTTCCTACCCGGGGTGTTCTGGAGCATTACTTCTACTGGCATCCTTGGATCGTCTCGCAGCACTGTGGGGAGGAACAACAAAGTCTATCAAACAATTCATAATAATTCATGGTGGATTCCAAACAAACCCGCACCACCTAGGCTGCCAGCATCCGAAGTATTCAAGCATAAGGCGACTCTGTTTAATTAATGTTGGAAGACATGTGTTTATAAGAAATACATGACCAATACATATCATACGGGCATCCTTGGACTGTCTCGCAGCACTGTGGGAGGAACAACATATTTTACCACAAACTACAGACGCTGTTAAATAGGCAACGAAGATGAGGTCACTCATTTGACTAAGTTCGCCTAAATACCAGTAACATTCACTGCTGAACCATCCGGGTTTGAATAGGTTCTTAGCATTGGATCGCATGCAGGCCCGAAGGAGCGTTTCTCAGACTATGTGGGCGTGTGTGTATGTGTATGTGTGTGTGGAGGGGGGGGGGGGGGGGGGGGGGGGGGTGTCGAAGAAGGTCAGTGACTTAGATGAATGCATATCATCGTACCCTGAAGGCCTGGAAAGTTGCTCATGCGTTTAGTCACTGGTTGGTCTACAATCGTTTATTGACATACCACCGTAGTAAAGCTGCAATAATGCTAGCTGCGGTGTTAAACAACATTCACTCACTCATTTCCATTGCTAGGACCGCCAAATCTTCAAGGATATACGTGGTTATCTTATATATTATTGCAAAACAAAATTGTATCCATGTGATGCCCCGCTTCATCTGACCCCAGTTTAGATGTACTGTAGCTCTCACCAACTAACAATTCAGACTTGCAGATATGCAAATGTTCCAAGAAAGGAAAGGTTTTGCAATTTGCGTAAATAGGTTTTGTTGAGGATGAGTATCATTTCTTGTTTGTATGCACGGTGGATACCGAATTGCGTGAACAGTACATTCCAAGAAACTACTGTGTATTCCCACTTTACATAAGTTCAATGTTTCGATATCAAGTTATAAATGTAATATCATAAGAAATTTGGCTACGTATATTTATAAGTCTATGCAACTAAGGACAAAACTGCTGATATAAATTTCAGTTACAACAATGGCTGCTGTACAGCTGCTGTGGCATGGGCCGACGTAACCTTGCTGAATAAACAACAACAACAAGAAGTAATAAATGGCCCCCTCCCCTGACTGCTTGACCAAATGATTCAGTCAGTTACACCTTTTTCAGAAAATAAAATTGATTTCACTGAAATTGAAACCCCCGGGATTATTGAAATTATGCATATTATTCAAATTAGTCAACCATGCCTTTCTTGTGACATATTATACGTCACCCGAGAATATCGTGGTTAGAACCCATACTTGCGGGGCGACTATGCCTGTCATAGGAGGCGACTAGCGGGATCGGGTGATCAGGCTCGCTGTCTTGTTTTATGCATGTCATCGTATCCCAAATACGAACAATAAACATACTGTAGGTAGTACTGAATCATGTAAAATACCAATAAGAATTCAACGTGTAACATTTCCAAATACTCCGGCGGCTCATTCTGATATTTTACGTGTGCTTCTTTACATCACATCAAAAGACGAACCGGATTGAATTGAAAATACATGTAGTACGTGCGTTCGATTATTATAAATTTGAGTGACCTGAGTCAACCGAGGTAACCGCGTTATTGGCAACTAGGGTTGACTAGATCCGACCCGAGATAACGACGGTTGATCAAAGAGAAGCCAAAGTAAAATGCATCCTTAGGTACATGTATTAAACAAAACGAATGTCAGAAGTCAGTATGTATTGCTAGAAAGCACATTAGTAACTATGAACGATTAACAAGTGTTTCATTGCTTGACAAAGCTACCGTTGTACCTTTTCTGTGTATTACATTAAAACGATCAGAGAGTTTAAGATCGTGCGTAGCACATCAAACAGAGATACTAAATCATTATAGAAATCGTATTATTGATTCTGAAGAATTTATTTCAACAATCGACAATTAAATAGTCCCGTCGTATATTAGAATACGCATAAGTTGTCAATACCTAGTTGATAATATTCCCTCAAAAAATATTCATGATAGAATCAATAAATGACTTGGATGAGAGTTACGCACCCCAGGGGTTGGTTCAGTGGTGGTCAGACCAACCAAAGTATGACGTAAGTCAGTGCTAACATTCGTCAACCAAGGTCAGTTTGGCTTATACCTAAGTCAGCGCGTATTAACTGTTTTTAAGGTATTCTGCGCCCATTATAGGAGTTTAACACTTGTTTACATTGTAGGGTCGCTGGCTTTATTGATGAATGACGTCGTATCTAAGTTGCGTAGATCGACATTTACGACGTCAATCACAGGACTACCTGGTCCAGACTCGATTATGTACAGACACCTGCCCTGTTTAATACCAAGTCCTGTGGTTTAATACTCTTCAATGCGCTGGCCTCTTGGAGTCCCCAGAGAATGACCACTCACCTGTGAAAAACACCAGCACTAACGTGAGAGCTGTGCCAAGGCTAAAGATGCCAGCAATGTAGCAGTAGTCGCGGGTTTTGCAGTAGGTGCCCACACTGGCATCGTCCGACCTAGACTTCTCAGCGTCGCTCATTGTTTTTCTCATCCTACTGTGTGATAACTTCCGTCCTGAAGAGTAAAAGTGATATGTGTCATAAATCACGGGGGGGGGGGGGGGGGGGGGGGGGGGCGTCATTCATCTTTTAAAGTAGAATAGGTCTTCAACAACCCATGCTTGCCGTAAAAGGCGACTATGCTTGTCGTAAGAGGCGACGAACGGATCGCGTGGTCAGACTCGCTGACTTGGTTGATGCACGTCATCGGTCCCAATTGCGTGGATCGATGCTCCTAATATCAATCACTGGATTGTCTGGTCAAGACTCGATTATTTACAGACCGCTGCCTATGCTGGAATATTGCTGAGTGAGGTGTTAAACAACAAACAGACAAACAAAACATCATCATCAAAACAACACTAGGGGCGTTGTTTCGGTCAAGAGCGCCAGGCTAGCTGGTGCCAGGTGCTGAGATTGTATCCCGGGGTTGTTATTCAGCCTTGGGACCAACAATTTTTACAGTTCCTTACAGAGCCCCGGACTCCTTTGATGTTTGAAAGCGCTCGCTCATCACGCCGGAGACCCGGGTTCGATTCCCGACATGGGTACAATGTGTGAAGCCCATTTCTGGTGTCCCCCGCCGTGATATCGCTGGAATATTGCTAAAAGCGGCGTAAAACATACTCAGTCACTTACTCTGATGTTTGAAACACGAATATGTTCATACACCCGAAACACAGGTGTCAATACTTGTGGTGTCATCCTGACCAAGTGACTTCGTTCAATGTGCCTGTTCAACCAGCAGGGAATGGGTACCCGATATGTGAGGTGGATGTAAAAACGTTCTAGCGCCCCTAGGCAGCTTGGGTTTGTTACAAAGTTAAAATGCGTCTCAAAAACATTAGAAAATGGTAACAAATTGTAACAAATTAAATCTTTCACAGCTGCAATGTGGTTGCATTAGGTATACAAAGTTCGTGACAGAACTATTACCTAGGAAAGAATTAATTGAAAAAGGACATTTTACATTTATCATCAGAATGTTTCGTATTCATCGTAGGATCGTTTCCATGTTATCATCGATTAGTTAATGAATCAGCAGAGAGGCAAGATACTTTTCATTTGTAGAATCCGGAGTGAGTCACAAAATCAATAGAGATAAGACACGTTTAGCACTAGTAGTGTGCGCGGTTCTGGCAGTGACCGGGGCAGATCGATATAACTGTGTTTGCCCAGTCTGCCTACAGTAGTTGTATTTCAAGGTGGACTGGAGCGTTCTTAAAAGTATGTGAGTATACTCGCATGTTGTGTTCAGTCCTTGAATGCAAGGGCCGGTACATGAATGCTGATAGAGGCAGTTCGGAGTAAGAGTGGATAGACCAATCACACCTTGACAAAGATGACCCGATTCTGACCAAGCGAGTCGCTAAGTCATGGCTTACCTTGCCTATGACGTCACGGAACGACAATAACAGATGACTGTAGTAGGGCTCAGTTAAACCCAAAACGCAGTTACTACAGGTTGTTTATAATGATAACTGGAATCCAAACGGATCCACTAGCCGGGGAACAAATAAAACCGTATTTGATCAGATACTAGTTTCTGGATACCTGCAGTATATAAATGTATATTATACTCACACGGACACAAATTAACGCAGAGTTGCGTCCCTTAGTTGTGTTAGTGAGTGAGTGAGTATTGTTTTACGCCGCTTTTAGCAATATTCCAGCAATATCACGGCGGGGGACACCAGAAATGGGCTTCACACAATGTACCCATGTCGGGAATCGAACCCGGGTCTTCGGCGTGACGAGCGAACGCTTTAACCACTAGGCTACCCGACCGCCCCTCCTTAGTTGTGTTAGGATCTCCCTCGTCCGAGCCGCTTTTCAGCTTATTTAAACTCATACTTAATGTGTCAGTACCTGACCCGTCCTCGTGTTTTTTAATCAAAGTGATTAGCGTCTTCACCTTCCACCCATGGGGGAGTCGGGTAGCCCAGTGGTTAAAGCGTTCGCTCGTCACGCCGAAGACCCGGGTTCGATTCCCGACATGGGCAAAATGTGTGAAGCCCATTTCTGGTGTCCCCCGCCGTGATATTGCTGGAATATTGCTAAAAGCGGCGTAAAACCAAAACTGACTCACTCACTCACTCCACCCATGGGCCGTAAGGGTCAGAATAGATCCAAGACACAATGCTTGTCTCGAATGTTACGGCTGTTTCACTGCTAAGGACTGGGCATTGATGATTATGCCAACCGTTTATAGCCCATGCTGGAATATTTACAAACTGCATTCATAAAGCTGGAATATGAATGTTTTCTTTGTTTGTTTCTTAAAGCCGCACTCGGATAATTCCACCAAGGAACGCCAAGGTGATAGCGAATGAAACAGACAAGCGCACTGTGTCAGCGCGCTATTCTCTTTTTAAATAAAGGAATCCGTGCAATGCGACATGCGACATGCGACATGCGACGTGCGTGAGGAAAACGAGCGTCAGCACAAGTGACGGTAAGTTATATTACGTAAATTTATTTTGTAACAGGATTGCTGAGGATGCCTTGTATCGTTTAGTTTGAGTGAATGGTTGGGTTTAACGCCGCTTTTAACCTTATTACAGTTATATCACGGCGTGTCAGCTTAATGTGGGAGGAAAGCCCGAAGTGATGCAGGTCTAAGGCGTTTACCACTTCGGTGAGACCCACGAGCACGGGTATGGTACCGACAAACCTAGAAACATAATTGGGGCGAACCGGGATTCGAACCCAAAATCATAGGTTTCTGGCGTACCCAAGGGACGCAACTCTGCACAGCGAATCGCGGCGCCTTAGACGACTGGGCCACCTGGGCCACCCGTGCCCCCCGTTTAGTCTGAATACTGTTTGTTGTTTGACGCCGCATTCAGAGATATTCCAGCTGTGACAGATAAATAACCGAGTCAGTGACAATCCAGTGACAACATGAACATCGATCTACGCAACTGGTATAGGATGACATCCATCATCCAAATCAACGAGCCTGACCACCAGATCCAGTTAGTCGCCTCCTTAACGACAAGCATGAGTTGCTGAAGACCAATTCTAACCCGGATATTCACGGGTCGGAATATACATGTAAATGACTGGCTTGAAACAAGGTTAGCCAATTAATTTTGCACTCTCTGTCAATAGTGTCCTACCGTTGTCGTTTGTCCTTGTGGTTTCAACGGTCGGGTTAGCTGCAAACGCCTCTGGGTCATCATACCCTTTTGTGTCCTGCTTCTTAACCTGCTTCTGTTCAAAGTTAAAGATGATTTTGTCATTTATAATATACAATTCAAAAGAAGTTAAGGATCACCCGATTCTTTCATATTGGTAATTTTAATCTGGCATGGCATGAGAGATTAACTATTGTAATATGAAAGAATCAGGTGATCCTTAACTTCTTTTGAGTAGTATATACTGAACCGCAAAAGAAACGTCACCCCAAGTCACATTGCATGAAGAGTTGTCATTTACACATCTGTTATTTTTGGTCAAAGTTTCTAAAATTTAACATTACCTTGTAGGGGAAAAATGAAATGTGATGTTAAAACCCCCCAAATCAGATGACAATCGCCCAAACGCATCACGTCAACGGCCATGGTAACCCGATGCTCGTGAGTTCCGTGCAAATTGAAATGCACATGCGTTCCCCCATTTCTTGCCCTATAAAATTCCACCCAGATCGGATAACATTCATTCGTTATTGAATTGCTACCACATGCCAAGATTGACAGGAAATCAGCGACACTAAGCCCTTGGACGATTGCAAGCTGGACAAACCGCCCGGCAAGCAGCCAATGCATGTCAAGTCCACGTAAGGACCATATACAGGCTCCAGCAACGGTACCAGACCACAAACACTACAGGGGCGGTCGGGTAGCCTAGTGGTTAAAGCGTTCGCTCGTCACGCCGAAGACCCGGGTTCGATTCCCGACATGGGTGCAATGTGTGAAGCCCATTTCTGGTGTCCCCCGCCGTGATATTGCTGGAATATTGCTAAAAGCGGCGTAAAACCCCACTCACTCACTCACAAACACTACAGATGACCGACCACGTTGTGGAAGACCAAGGGTCACAACCCGACGTCAGGATCGTCAGATTGTGCGACAGCATCTTCAAGATCGCTTTGTTAAAGATGATTTTGTCATTCATAGTAATAAAATAACTTCTCAATAAATGCTTTAAGAGATTATCTTTTCATGTTTTAAAAGCATAATATATTACGATATATCACTCTCACCTCATTACTACCAGTAATGTGTCCTTCTATCACTGTCATGGTACCGATGGCCTCGTGGTGATCGCCTTGGAATCATATAGACACCCACAGTTATAAAAAAGACAGTTAAAATAAGCGACAGTCCTAATACCTGGTTAGGAAGATAATTTTCTCAGCCAATTTTTCGGCCTCGAATACTAAACCAACTTCAGTACCAGCTAAAATATGTTTTTAACATAATGTTTCTGTTTGCTGCTGAGAATGTTATAATGGAAAACGCATGTTTAATGGTGGATAAAATGGAACAACAAGATATGGTTATTCGAGGCTGATGTATTTTAACTTGGTGTCATAGTTGTGTTTTGAACCTTAAGTTTGCTGTGTTTCGGTGACTGTTTTCAGCCTTTTGATCACGTTTGTCTGGTTTTGGTCAAATTCAGTTTTGAAGTGTATACTTTTAGTCCGGTTTTGTTATTCCACACATAAATATTCGCTGTGTGCGGTATGCAGACTCGTCGGGTCGTTCTCAAGGTGCACGGGAGACAAGTCAAAAGTCAAAACTGAAAAGCATATTATAAAATCTAAACATATGCATATAAAAATTATATTAATTCTCAGTTCGTTTTCGCAGCAAATACGCTGTATGTATATAGACGTTGGTCAATGGCTGGACGGCAATGAGCAAAATTCTCCTTGTGAAAATATGTCGATAAACAGGAAATCGATTGGTAAAAGTAGTGAATCCAAAATTATTGGCTGGGTAATTTTGTGTAAAAATAAATTGGTTCAATGAAGACTGGGGTGAGAAATGATTTTGCAACCACGTGATCCCTACCGTGTTCGAAATAGTGTAAATTTGTGCGAAAACCCCAAATTTGTTGAATTTCAAAGAATAAATGTCAAAGATACCCATCAGCAGTTGTGCATATTGTGAAAAAAGTAAAGTTTCAAATCAAATTTGAAACGCATTATAAAAATATAAATCCATGGAGAAGTATTCTTTGAGTGCTGAGTAAGTGCCGGAACGGTTCAACTTAGATATTTCCAATCTTATTATAACATCAGCGCGACAGCCATCAGTAGTTGACCATGTGTATTGTGTGAACTGCTTTCATTGTTTTTAAAAGTTGTTAATCATATATATTTTTGGAAATAAAACCACGTAGAAGTATTCTTCATGTGCTGAATAAGCGCCAGTACAGTTTATTTTAATATCACAAACTTAAATAATTTCAATTGAAAATGTTACATATGATAAAATCCAAGGAGAGGTGAAGTTTCGTTCGCACCTCAAACATTTCGAGACGTTGTTTCAGATTCAAATGTAACCTCATACTTGTTTAACCAAAATGTAATCCGCTTATGTTGAACTTGATATTTTATTAGTATTTATCTATATGATGACCTTGAGAAATTGCACAGAATACAATTACTGAAGAGACTCTCACGTCTACTTTCTATCTTCGAACAACAGAAAAAAAACAATTTAAATGAATGGAGGATATTTGCGTTCGGAGTTCAGATCAATTTATATGTATAATGTCCTGCCTTTAAACAAATGAAAATAAATATATCAAGTTAACACACACATTATGCATCTCTATAACAAGGTTTTACGGAGTTCATGTTCACAAATGCGAGGAACCGTGTATCTTCATCAAACAATTAAATCTAACATCAAATCAACCCACCCTCTTACCTGTGAGTCGACGGCTTAGAATGATCTGTATCTTTCAGACTAGTTGTCAGGCCAACAGCATTACTTTACCTTTGGGGGTAGGGGAGGGGAGGGGAGGGGGGTGTCATCATCACCTCTTTTGTCTGTCCAATAAGAACGTCTGCATACATCGGATGACTACGACGAGAGATTTCAGAACTCTCATATTTCTAAACGTAAATGGCTAAATATTGAGAAATCGTGATTTGGAAAACATATTTGTTGTTCTGATGAAGCATGGTTTTGTATTGATTTTGTATCAAAAGACAAATACTCCCCATAAGAAGGAACCGACTGATGCTATACGCCTTTAGGCAGTGTACCTATCGAATTTCACCAATAGCAAACATAATGTCATAAACCACTATATATTGTATAGGTGAAAGAAATATCTGATGGAGAAGGCTTTCCACAAATATAATTCAGATTAATTAACAGGCGCAGGATCAATACAGTGTTTCTTCACAACACAGTCTGATAATGAGATTCACGGAGGTGATTACGTACTGAATCAGATTTCCCCTCACGAGCAGTTCACTAGGTGTTGGAAAAGGCGTGAATTTCTGTTGTGGTAGTCCCTGCTGTATTTATTTGTTGTAAAAAAATAACATTTCTATAAAATCATGTTCAATAACGTAAAAAACAGTTTCTCTGCCACTAACTATAAATGTATGTTTTTTATGAAAAATTATTGTCTTATGAAAAGACCGTAGAACCGTACAAGTAGTTGATATAGTGTGTTATGGGCAGGAAACTATTTATTCTGACGGTGTGATGCTTACAGATGTTTAAACTTGTTCTCGTCCATAAATGGCTGGAATAACGCCGATTCGACGTTAATTCTAAATGAAGATAGGACTCCCTCCGCCGTGTATCTGTAAACTGTAAGCCGAGGGGGGGGGGGGGGGCTTGTACTTACTTACTATAGGAGATTTAACGTGTGCTTTCCGAAATTGTGCGTATTTCGCACACGGGCCCGCCAGGCCATGTCGTGAGATTGCCAAGGAGGGTGTGTACGAAAGGCGAGGCAACCTGAGCGGCGTAATGGTTGCTTATTGTCCATTTCGAGAAATTTGGAGTTTGGAAACTTGGGGGTCTAAGTTGGGGGGACTAAGGGAGGATGTGGATGTGTGGTTTTTGGATCTGTGTTTTATTAGTTTTGATTAGGGCTGGGACGGGTAACTCGGATACCCGGGTCGGGTGGGAACTGAGTAGGTCCCGGGTATCCACAGAACTACGTTAGTCACGTGATATATTGTCAAATGACTAAAATTATCTGGAACTCTATGGTTACACTACAAGTCATTAATGTTCGCTTTTCTTTCTGACTATGCACCCATTCTGTCCGATATGGTTGAATAAAGATATAACTGAGTCAACTTCAGTGTATGCATGACCAGATTATTAATACATGATTCTAAATACGTTTTGCCAGGGCTATGCTAAAAAAAAGTTATCAAATGGACAGTTTGAGACATCTCCTGTGACCTACAGTGGGTACCCGGATAGGGTAATTGGGGTGGGGTGGGGGGTTGTACCCGGGTAGTAAATTTGGACTCGTCCCAGCCCTGGTTTTGATTAGTGGTGGTTAATTGCGGCCTAGTAGTTGAATTTTAATACGGAATATGCCTAATGCTTTGAAGGTCTGTATATCGCTTAGCGGATTTAGAAGTTTTGCTACAGTAAGTTGAGTGGTGCAGTCTAGCTTGGTTTGGAGTGCGTGCAGTGTAGTGGTACATGTTCTAGTGTTTCTAGTTGGCTGCAGTGTGGGTATTTACCTGTTTTGTGTTTCTTTATTTTATGAAGATATGATTTTAGTTTTGTGTGACCTGTTTGTAGTACCCTGTATTTATGATGAATCTTTACTTTTGAGTGGCTTTTGGGGCATATGTTTTAGTTTGCATTTTGAGTAGTTATTTTGCCACTTGTGGAAAAAGATTTCCCTCAGTGATGCTCTTTATTTCGTTTTTGGATATTGGTAAGTTAAGGCTTGTAGGCCAAGTTTTCTTTTTGAACTAGGCGGTCGGGTAGCCTAGTGGTTAAAGCGTTCGCTCGTCACGCCGAAGACCCGGGTTCGATTCCCGACATGGGTACAATGTGTGAAGCCTATTTCTGGTGTCCCCCGCCGTGGTATTGCTGGAATATTGCTAAAAGCGGCGTAAAACCATACTCACTCACTCTTTTTGAACCAGCTTCTGTTCTGTTCTGTTTTATGTTATGGTGACGTTAATATTTTAAATGCGTTCTTAGTCTTTCTAGCATTTAATTCACTTGATAAGAATGCAAAATATACTCTATTAAAGGTCAAGCGATTTTATTAACATATACTGAGGCACATGTTCTGCATCATTTACAAAAACTACACCAAAGATTTGTTTATAGAACACAAGCAGTCGGGCACAGACTGACTGACTGATATAGGAGATTTAACGTGCGCTTTCCGACTGTAGCGTATTTCGCACACGGGCCTGACCGGGCCATTTAGTGTATTCCGAAAAGGGTGAAAGTGGTGTGTGCAACCCAAGAGGGGGCTTTTAGGGGTTGCTTATATTGAATTTTTGGAATTTTTAAATTTGGAATAAATTTGTATGTTTATTGGATTTTGGATTGGTAGATTAATTAGTTTTTAGATGCCCTTAATTAAATCTGTTTTGATTAGGAATACGCCTAGGGCCTTGAAGTTTTCTAGTTTATTTTGAGGGTTTAGTATTTCATCTAGAGTAGGAACCTTATTTAGATTGAGGGTGGTTTGTAGTGTGGTTCTGTGTGTTTGGTAGTGGATGCAGTGGATGAGTGCGTGTCCTGTGGTTTCGGGTTGTTTGCAGTGGGGGCAGTTTTTTTAGGTAGTTATTTAGGTTCGTGTGTCCTGTTTGGAGTTTTGTAATTAATCTGTCAATTTTTTTAGAGGGTTGTAGGATTTCAGGGTTTGGCTAGCACTTTTTTGATTTGGCTATTTGAGTTTTGATATTGATTATTCCATTTTTTGGTTATTTTTTGTTTGTTTACACTTTTAATTTCTGATTTTGAGATGGGTAGGTTTAGGCTTATTTCTGGTATTTTGAGAGATAATTTAGCTGCTTTATCGGCGCTTTCGTTGCCGTAAATTCCTACGTGGGCGGGGATCCACAAGAAGGTTATTTGTTTGCCTGCTTTTGTTAGGTCGTTGGAGCTATTAAGTATTTGGTTTATTAATTTAGGTCGTTTTTGGTATTTTTGTTTTGGAGGGCTTGTAGTCCACTTAGGGAGTCGGTGAGAATTAGGATTTTATTGTTGTTTTTAGATTGTTGGTTATGCAGGGCTGAGGCCATGCCCATAAGTTCGGCCGTGAATATAGATTGGTTGTTAGGGAGTCGGTAAGATTGTGTGGATATAACTGGTTGTGTGGTATGGACTCCGAAGCCTGTGTGGTTGGAGATCGGGTCTGAAGATCCGTCAGTGTATATGTGACACCAATTTGGCCAATTTTCGTTTATGTATGCAAGTGTGGTGGTTTTAGCTAGCGTTGTGTCTATTTTGGGTATTTTGAGTTTAGGGGTGAAGATATTTGATTTTTTGCAGTTTTGTTTAAGATTTTGAGTTTGGTGTTCATTGAGGTAGTTAGTTATTCTTTGGGATATTGGGGTGAGTAAGGGGTGTTTGCGAGCTAGAGCTTGGTTTCTTGGGCTAATGTTTTGGTTAATTAAGTTTTGGATGAGAGGGTTTGTTTGGGACGCGGCCCAGAAATTAAGGCTTAGATGTTCCCTGCGTAGATTTAGTGGTATTTCCCCTGTAAGGGCCTGAAGTGAGGTGTAGGTTACACACAACCAAATGTTTTCCCATAGACTTCTATAGTAACGTTATGATTTTTTTTTAAATAACTAAGCATTCAACAGCTATTACCTGTACGTGTGTGCACAGTTTGGCCTTAGAGCAGCAATAAAAAAAATAAAAATGACTAGCTTAGCCAGCTCCTTTTCCGAGTACCGGAAGCTAAACACACCACCCCCAGTTTCGCACCAAATGTCACCTACTTGAAAATAGCTGTGGTCACATTCAGCATAAGTCATCATGTTGAAAAAGACAGTACTAAATATAGAAAAATATGGTCAGTTTTAATAACTGGATGGATGTACATTTGAAAGACATAAAAATCTTACAGAATATCCTCCAATCACAGCCTGCAGATATCTCTCGATCTGCACTGAAGGCTCCCTACGAAAACCGCACTCTCCAAACTGGTACTGATTTGGTGTAGTAGAACCTGTAGGAGGTGCCATGTTGGGTGCGTGTAATTAGAGATAAAACACATAAGACACAACTTATAAACACAATCATCATCTGGTTCATCGGAGTTGGAGTATGTTACTCTGCTCACAGCTGGGAGATGCTCATTAATTAAGTGACACTGCTCACACCTCCCTGACCTACCCGATGATTGGCACGTCTGACAATAGCTGCGTCTAACATTTGGGGGTGAACCAATTACCACGTGGCTGGCATCACACACTGCGTAATAAGTTATATCACCAGGATCAGGTGTCTAATCTTTGAAATGGTATCAATCCCGAAAATATTACTTGTCCATGGTGATGGGGCTATTATGATCAAACATAGCCCTGATCAAGAAAAGAATAAGCTTAACGAAAAGCTACCGAATCACAAGTACATTCAGGTTATAGAATAACGTATTGAATAAAACCCAAATACCACCGTGCATAAATGGATTTCATTATCAATGAAAAAAAAGCATTGTTAACTAGAAAGTGTTTTTACTCGTAAAAACATATGTCTCCCCCCACTCCCCTAACCCCCATTCATTTGTTTACTTCACGTTAAACCCCATCTCTTCATTCCCACCCTCCATTACTAAATAACAGAGACAAAAATAGAACTCCTAGAAATTTCAAACAACTAATGGGCACCACTTCAGTGCTGGGTTAATGTGTATACAAAGTTTCGCGAAAAAATATTAAACGGTTTCTGAGTTATGGTCAGGAAACAAAGCTTACCCCCATTCAGAGCCTATGTTCAACTTATCTTCATGGAAACGAGAAAAAATAAAAATGTCAAAAATCTCTAAATAGCAAAAGGCACCACTTCAGTGCTGGGTTAATGTGTATACAAAGTTTCGCGAAAAAATATTAAACGGTTTCTGAGTTATGGTCAGGAAACCAAGCTTACCCCCATTCAGAGCCTATGTTCAAGTTATCTCCATGGAAACGAGAAAAAATAAAAATGTCAAAAATCTCTAAATAGCAAAAGGCACCACTTCAGTGCTGGGTTAATGTGTATACAAAGTTTCGCGAAAAAATATTAAACGGTTTCCGAGTTATGGTCCGGAAACCAAGCTTACCCCCATTCAGAGTCTATGTTCAAGTTATCTCCATGGAAACGAGAAAAAATAAAAAAGTCAAAAATCTCTAAATAGCAAAAGGCACCACTTCAGTGCTGGGTTAATGTGTATACAAAGTTTGGCGAAAAAATATTAAACGGTTTCTGAGTTATGGTCCGGAAACGGTAGGAACGCCGACGCCGACGGGAACCGTGCCAAAAACAATATGTCTCCCTCCATTCTGGGGGAGACATAATTCCATAGTTCTTCCCAGTCACCGTGAAGACATGGGTTAGCCTTTAAAGCGGACATCACGGGCTCGCATGCTTCTTGCGACACACCTTTTTCGTTGAATTATTCAATCATAAAGGTAAATGAAAGGGTCAACTGGTCCTTCATTGTCAAGTGGTGTTTAATAACAATTCAGTGGATGCACGGTCAAAAAGCAAGGCGCCCTGTTTTTAATCTACGTTATGCTATGAAAACATTCTTAACCTCATTTGGTACTAAATCTAACGATTCGTGAAGTTTCCGGGGTAGAATAGGTCTTCAGAACCCATGCTTGCCGTAAAAGGCGACTATGCTTGTCGTAAAAGGCGACTAACGGGATTGGGTGGTCAGGCTCGCTGACTTGGTTGATACATGTCATCGATCCCAATTGCGTGGATCGATGCTCATGATATTAATCACTGGATTGTCTTGTCCAGACTCGATTATTTACAGACCGCCGTCAAATAGCTGGAATATCGATCGTAGCGCAACCAGTGGCTCTTATGAGTGATGCCCCTTCTATGCCTCTCCTATGGCCCAATCAGATTCCACCTCTCGTATCACTTGCATTTGCTTCAATCAAAATGGCGGCGCCCGGTCGATGGATAATCAAGATCTATATTGTGAGAGAACGGGTCTTACATTGCCAAGTGCATCAAATCACTTGAGCAGCTTGATTAAAAACATGAAAAGACTTGGAAAATATCTGCTGACAACGAATTGGCGGTGCAAATGCTTTGCGAATCCTGCAATCGACCGGAAACTGCATGACAGTTTACGAACCGGATTTCGATTTCGTTGCGCGATTGTGATTGGACTATGCATAGACTCGTTAGTCCAGCCAAAATATAACTCCATAGTACCAGCCTAGGCCGGCAAGGGTGGAAACTGGATATTTATAGTCAGTTAACTCCTTTGCCTCGGGAAGATGGATCCGCCCTGAATGTTATTCTTAATTTGTTAGCACCATACCCATACGCGTTGATGTTATCTACATCATACTGTTGACACTGGCTTTAATCCCGACTCACTCAACCACTATTATAATCGATGCCAGGACATTTGCTTAGTTGTGATGATTGACATTGTTTTTTAACCACTAAAGACATATGACATTGATCCTAATCATATTGTGTATACAAACAACATCAGTGTGACCCAGTCATCTTGCTGTAGACAAATGTTATTTAGGACATGTTCATGAATTGGATATATTTTGGCAGGACATTATTCTATATCATTACCAAATTTTGAAAGTACATTTTGGATGACAGTCAGTCATTGACCCAGAAAATGAATTATCGTCCAAAACTGGCTTCTACGGGTTTCGCTTGGATGAGATCAAGCGATATTTCACGGGAAACATCAGTTACCATGTCGTCACAATCAAATGACAGCACTTGTCTCTCCGACTCAGTGCCACAGAAGACACAAAGTTGTCTGACGCTGGCGTGGGTGCCCTGTGAATTATGTCTGTCTCTGGCCACAAGAATGAGAAATGTTTGCAAAGCTTTATAACCACAAACATGTACATGCTCTCTGCCTCATATCATTCATTCACCTGATGAAGGGGTAAGCATATACTCCGAAAAAACGTTTCGTCATAATAAAGAAGTTGACATCCATAAACAGCTCCGCCACTGGTGAAAATGTGTTCTTTTCTTTGACCCTCCATGAGAGAGACATCATATATATTTCACTAGAATCATCCAATCATCAGTCGGCTCTTTGGTCCCCTGGGGGATACTTATAGTGGTCCCTATGGGGTACTACGAGTGGACCCGTGACAATCCGGGATAGAATAGGTCTTCAGCAACCCACGCTTGCCGTAAAAGGTGACTACTCTTGTGTAAGATACGACTTATGGGATTGGGTGATCAGGCACACTTGGTTGATGCATGTCATCGTATCCCAAATACGTGGATCGATACTCATGATGTCCATCACTGGATCGATTATTTACGGACCGCCGTCATATAGGTTATTGCTGAGTGAGGCTTTAAACAAAACAACTTTTAGTGGTTCCCTTTGGAACTTTTCTGCAACAGAATCCAAGCGAAGGATCTGTGAGAGAAAATGTCATATGCAGACAACGAAACGAAACGCTATGTTATTATACATTTATTGTTTCCATTTAAGCGCAGGCGTTCTTCATAAACATAAACTTGACATAACCCTAGGAGCTTTTGCAGAGACGAATTTCAACTAACATGGACTCCAAAATATCTTTCAGGTTAAACCTCAAAATCAATTAGTGTTACATAGGTTAATTTAAAAATAGTGTCACAATGACATTAAAACAGAACAGGCCTTTTTTCATTGACAGGTGGAAGATTAACGTTGGTTAACATAAAAGTCATACACGATCTTCATTAGAAGGAAGAATGCAGACAAAAGGGTAAACTTTTGGTGCATACCTATCACTCTCAGTGCCTCAGCTCTTTCACGAAAACGGTAAAACCTTGACACCTGTGTCCTGTCCGATCCTCCATTGTGGAGACAGTATTCATTCCTATTAGTCTTTAACAATCCAGTACATGTATCTTCACATTTACCACACTTAAGACACTGGTACCCATTTCCCCTACGCACGGGCATGCCACGTGTTGACGCTAAGACATCTTCTAGGGTGCAGGCCCGTTCGGCTGACATGGCGGGAGAATGACTATCAGGCTTCATGATTCCTTCTCTTTGCTGATAATCATGATTTTTTTGAGTGGATGTGGGTTTCCTGGAAATGAATTTTGTCCCTTTTCCCTTCTTCGTGGGCCCATTGAATATGACATCCTGGTCCCCAGGGCCCGAACTTGAGTGTGGCGAGGGATCCGTACTGGAACATGCTCTCTCCGTGAGATCTGTTGGAGTCAAGTTAGTACAGTTCATCATTAGTTAGTAAGATATGTAACTTGACGTAACAAACCAATGATCGATTGCATGAGAACACGATTACACTCTCCCGTTTATTGGGCTTTTTTTTCCATCGTCTAACCCGATTGGGGGGGTCAGGCTTGCAAGCTTGGTTGATGCATGTCATCGTATCCAAATTCTGAAGATCGATGCTCATGATGTCAATCAATGGATTGTCTGGCCCAGACTCGATTATTTACAGACATATAGCTGGAATGTTGCTGGTTGCGGCGTTAAACAACAAACAAACACAACTTGGGACTTCCTAACCCTGAATCTCCAAGGTAGTAAGCCATGAATATATGGCACATGGCCAGTCCCGACTGACACCAGTGGAAATCTGGGAGGACTGCCTGTTTACTCCCAAATCGTGTTAAGCTACATAAACCACTGGTCCCAGTAGAGCAACTGCAGGGTTTTACTCACCTCCTTGTTTATCCTCCTCGTGTTGAGTTTTTTTAACCAGATCATCCAATATCTTGACGGTGTTGTAGTTTCGATCAAAGTCTCGTGAGATGGTGTCTCGGACACTTTCTCCACCTGACCATGCCACCTCCAGCTTGACCCACTGCCCAGACACGTTTAATGACCTGTTGGTCCTCTCTTCCCAGCGGATTATCTTTAACAGGTTAATAGAATCATAGTATATACAGTATAGTATTTTCCAAACCAACATGTTTCATTCATATCTTCAAACCCGTTTGAAGAAACCTGTTTCTCAATTTTCTGAATATATTTGATTCTGTACATTGTGTACACCTGTATTAATGAACACATTTATATATTCATATATGTACTGGCACCTTTTCTGTCATTAAAACTAAATTACTTATCATTCTATGTGACACATCTAGTTGCTGAACATAAGCTCATTATATGAGTCGACCAGTCAAAATAAGTACCTCGAGGAAATACTTAGAAATGTTTCTAAAAATAAACCTGTGACAACTGTACTGTGACTAAATACACTGGATAACTACTTGGCAAATGAGCATATCAACACGCGTAATGTACAAATATGATTCACAAAATATACCTGGATATATATGGATTTGGAATTTGGGTATTAAAGATCTACATCTCAAAGAAAAGTAAAGGGTCATATTTTCTAAATTGCAACTGCTTATTATGTAACTCAAAGTGAGATATTCATTAACTTATAGTATTCTGCTATTAGAGTGGCCTTGCACAAAACATGTTTATTATTACACATTAAGATGCTCCCCGCACTGCAGCTATATCTCTATACAATACCTCATTCCTTTCTTTGTCTATAACAACAAGTTTCCACTCTATGTCCATTTCGTTATTGACGACGAAAGATGCCTTCCATTTTCCTGATCCTCGAGGGAAGCAACTGTCCATCAGTACACAATCCCTAGGCTCCCAGCACCCCAGGGGCGGCGTCGAGCCAATTATACCAAGAACCTTTCCGGGAGGAGTGACGTAGTTTGTATATACGTCTACTTTACAAGTGTGGAAAATTATGACTTCATTTTCCACATTCCATTCCGAATGCACAATGACACTACATTTCTCGATGAAAAGTATTCTTTCATTTATTGTTTCACGCCTATCTATTTCCCCATCGTGACTGAGAACAAGCCACGACCAACAAAACTGTGTATCGGTGGGTACTTTCAGGACTGCTTCCCAAACCTGTTTCCCGCCGTCTCTACTGGAGCCTTCCACTATTGGCAAAAGCCTCGCGCGCTGGTAAAGGCCTGAATCATTTTTGATCCGCCAATTTCCTAGCTCTGGGATAGAACCGACGACTGCTGGCTGCTCTCCATCGAGTCGAGTTCGAAAACAAACCCGGAAGATCACTTTAACGTATCGTGGCGGCATATGTGTGTCCTGTCTTGCCCGTAAACGATCATAAACTTAAAAATACGTCGACACATGCCGCCATCATTGTTGTCAGTGGTGACACGATCAATGTCAAGGTCAAACATGAAGTAGAGTTATCTCCCTTGTGCGCATTCAGTGCCAAGCTCCTTCCCAGCGCGTGACACCTTCGTTACACTCTCGGTAGTATATAGAGAGCTCCGCGAACGGGCTATTGCTGTAAGGAGCTTGTCTTCAGTGTTCACGGCCCGTTTTGTGTGTTTGGTGTTTGTTTCTTGTTAAATGCCGCACTCAGCAATAGTCCACCTATATGTCGTGGGTCTGTAAAAAGTCTGGTCAAGACAATCCAGTGAATGACATTGTGAACACCGAGCCACAACTTTGGGATACAAAGACATGCAATCAACCAAATAACTGAGCTTCACCACCGGATCGAGGAACATCGATTTGTATATATGATTTTTGTTCTTTAACGCCGCACACAGCAAATATTCCAGTTATATGACGGCGGTCTACAAATAATTGAGTCTGGACCAGACAATCCAGTGATTGACTTCATGAGCATCGATCTAGGCAATTGGGATACAATGACATGCATTAATCAAGTCAGCGAGCCTGACCACCCGATCCCGTTGGTCGCCTCTTCAATTACGACAAGCATGGGTAACTGAAGACCTATTCTAACCTGGATCTTCACGGGTCGCAAAGCATTTAGCTGTTAAAATAGGAAGATTCGAATGACACCAACATCCGCCCACTCTTATTTTGGGGTAATAATTGAGTTAATAAAGCGAGTTCATATTCTAACCCGGATCTTCACGGGTTTGTATATATGATATGTATTAGGTCAGTTGTATGTGACTGAATTATCATTTGAGCTAGCAAATTGGGATTTGCAACATATTAAGAACTGACGCTCAATGTTTGGAATATTTTGTTGAATCAACTAGAATTTAATCCTTCTTTATTAAAACGTGTTTTTTCTTAACCTTAGCGATATCTTCATGGACTTTTTATGAAAATTCATGTAACGTTTCACACTGTGACAAGAATGGCCATGAGTATATATACTGATATTTATGCATGCAGCTTTCATATTACGCATCGTATGTGTGTTTTACACTTGACTGAACCTAAGTACACAGTGTAAAGTTATATTTCCTAGTGGCCTTTACGTAATCCCACGACGGAGTTATTTCCCTTCGTATTCAGGGCAATATTGTAAACTGGTTCCACTGTTGGCACATGACGCAAGCTTAGCGCGATTTAGCTAGCTGAGGTAGACATGAACCCAGTCCTTGATAAGTGCGTTAAACAGCGACGACCCACAATATCACTTCACTTTACATTTAATGTTCGAGGTTTGTTTGTATCCTTTCTTTCGTTACATTCGATGTTGTGTATATATATACATTCTAAGAGATTGTGATGTAATTGTTGTGACGTAGGTGGGGGCGGTTAGTATTAGGGCAACGGTTGAGAGGTATGGCGTGTTGCGTCTGTGTGTGAGACATTCTCACTCTCAGTTGTGTCCATTGATTTCGCCACAGACTTATATATACGTCGAAAAAATGTACAGATTGTTTCATCCTGTGTTCCTGCTGTAATTCCTACAACAGGAAGCGATGCTTAGCGTTATAGTGAACACATATTCCAGTCTAATTCTGGACAGTGAAAGTAATTAACGGTGTATAAACGAATGCGTTTCCGTTCTGCTCCAGGACAATGAAATGCTGTCCATACTTCCTGTCGTCTGCCAACTGGCACCGCGTCTCTTTAAAAATCTACTAACTCGCTTTAGTGAAGATCTAGACTTTTCTTTGCTACAGTATGCTTGTATGAAAGTTAAACGATTTGTTTTTTAAATGTTTCACCAATGACCCTATGTGATTAATAATCGTGAATGCCATAGCGTACACGTGCACTTAATTGTACTTCTATACCGCGGAGTTGGAGATCTGGCTTCGTAAACATCCTGGCTGTAACATGAAGCAATACATGCTTGCTGTAAAAGGCGACTATGCTTGTCATAAGAGGCGACTAATGGGATCGGGTGGTCAGGCTCGCTGACTTGGTTGATGTATGTCACCGATCCCAATTGCGTGGATCGATGCCCATGTTGTTAATCACTGGATTGTCTGGTCCAGACTCGATTATTTAGAGACCGCCGTCATATAGCTGGAATATTGCTGAGTGCGGCGTTAAACAACAAACAAAACAAAGTAACATGAAGCTGGCATTCTGGTTGATTGATTTCTTGTAGGGATTATTTGGGAAAACACATTATGAGCGTATATCGTTTTGCTCACAGTCTCAAACTATCTTGTGGCCATGACAACCACCATTATGATCAGTCTGCTCCTTGTCGTGTGCTGCAGTGTCGTCTGCTCGGCTTGGCGGTTCAAGAGAGACTATAAGAAGTAAGTTCTTCACTGTAGGGTGGGTGATTTAACTATACAGCCCAGACTAAGCCCCAAGTGACTATTTCCTGTTCCCGCAAATGAAATCTGCCCTACGTGGAAGACGCTTCCAGGATGACGAGGACATAAAGGCTGCCACAGAGGCGTGGTTAGAGGGCCAATCTGCGGATTTCTATAAAAGTGGTATTAAAAGCTTGATGGACAAATGGAATAGGTGTATTGAGGTGAATGGAAATTATATTGAAAAATAAAAGTGCAAAAGATATTCTGCGACTTCGTCTTATATTGAAGTTGCAAAACTTATTGAACGCCCCTCGTATATACTGTCATTTTAAGCGATAAGGGAATCAACCGACTTAAAGTGTACGATCTCTTGTTAGCAAACAGGAAGTATTCTTATGTCCACTTCGTGCTGCAGATAGATTAGTTTCTTCAAGAAAAAGTGTCAGTGGAGTAGTGATAGAAAGAGAGCTATTCAGATACACTGTGTTTAAAATTACCTAAAATACTTCGACTTTTTGCTTTTCTAAATTTGTTTTTCCCTGTTAAGTTGTAGAGGTTAACCTCTAAGTCCGTAAACCTCGCATTCTGGATGTACTCGTTAGGAACTGTTTTTTCGGCAACATAACACCGCACTCATTACCAACCGGATTACAAGGTTTCGTGGTGTATCGTGTCTTGTTTCAGCTGTTTCTGCACGGCGGTCAACATCCACAACTATGGCGACGTTATAAAGGACTTCGGCTCCATACAATAGTGCCGTGCCTTCCCGGCATGCAGCTGTCACAGAACGGAAATGATGACGTGTGGGACACAGTGTGACAGGAAGGTGAAAGAGTGGGTGTGTCATCACGAGTGTGGAGGGAATCGGGCCGTCGGGGGTGTCCAGATACGTGCCTCCTTCACAGCCAGTACTTGCCATTCCAACACGTCATATTTAGTTTATGAATGTGGTTCCCAAGTCAACTGTGCATTTTGATATTGGTGATGACGACGTTGGAAGTACATGTTTTACATTTAACAAACACTTTATTTTTATGTATGTTCCGGGGCGGTCGGGTAGCCTAGTGGTTAAAGCGTTCGCTCGTCACGCCGAAGACCCGGTTTGAATCCCGACATGGGTACAATGTGTGAAGCCCATTTCTGGTGTCCCCCGCCGTGATATTGCTGGAATATTGCTAAAAGCGGCGTAAAACCATACTCACTCACTCACTCACTTATGTATGTTCCAAAGCGGTCAACAGCATGTTCCTCTTAACGTTAGGTTAAAATACTATCTACATCAAAATATAATTGTCATTCTGTTGTCTAAACTTGCCAGTATTTTGTCTCGAATAAATATGGTCTGTCTAACTTTGATCCAGAGGATCTGCACGGCGTGAAGAAGTTAACTTATTATGGGTTAAATACGGTAAGGGTTATCCTGCCACAGCCAGGCACATGCACGTGAATATGGTGTCACGAAGTCGCGTGAGGAAGGTGAGGTGTAGTGTTCACTGAATGTGTTGAACCATTCGATGTCTTCGCATCACCGAGCAGATGATACATCTTGCTCAATATTGGCTCAAGGATATGAGTTCACAAAGTATTGGAGTGTTTCGCGATGAGCAAAGTTTTTGAGCCGTATGGCAGATCCTTTAATCTGAGTGATACGATGTGTTTATTGTAATATGGGAAGCTGCTGGTAAAGCAACAGTTGGGACCCAAAACTGAGCCAAGGAAGACGGAAGAAAAAGCAGTCACAGATGAAGATTCATTTAAGATAAGTATAGTTTAGTTATAAAATTGGGGGCACGGATGGCCCAGTCGTCTAAGGCGCCGCGATTCGCTGTGCAGAGTTGCGCCCCTTAGGCACGCCAGAAACCTATGATTGTGGGTTCGAATCCCGGTTCGCCCCGATTATGTTTCTAGGTTTGTCAGCACCATACCCGTGCTCGTGGGTTTCACCGTAAACACATTAAGCTGACACGCCGTGATATGACTGGAATACTGTTAAAAGCGGCGTTAAACCCAACTCACTCACTCGCTCACTCACTAGTTATAAAATTGGAAACATTTCTGAATAATAACAACAAAACTTCCAAGTTATATCATGTTTTCTTTGGTCATATCTTTAGTTTGGAACTGTATAACTGAAAACGGATCTGTTTTTGACAGATTTGTGGATTGACGTCAAGGAATGTTTACACGTTTGACGACTGTATTTATTTTTGAGTGTTAATAAACCTGCTCGCTTGTATGCGGTAGGCATAACCCTTGCGATGCGTATGTTGTACATGGTAAATATTTTATGTTCGTTTGAGCGAAGCTAATTTGAACATATATTTTGTAGTATACCTACCTAATGATGCAAGTACCTAAACTGTCATAAAGTGCCCGTATGTAGCCCAGAAGGTGAAACAATTTGTAATTTGCAGAATCAGGAAAGGGGACAACACCCATTTGTGTATTAATTACATATGTAACAGAAAAATAGAAAACAAACATATCATGAAAACAAAACTAGTAATATATTTTCACAACAATGACTCCTGAAATATGTGTAATTGTTTTCAAGGAACATGGGGTATTAAGTTGACACAATCATAGTATATGCATTATAAGTGTTTAACATTTTAACGAATGGAATGACATAAAACTTATCACATGATATCAATATTATTTGCATTGTCTAGAATTGAACGAACAATTATGGCAGCCAATGGCTGGACGGAATGGATTAAAACTGTTTTGTATATAAATACGTTACTCATATTGTTCATAAGGAATCTTTTCAAAGTAATAGTTACATTGTTTAAATATTATTATATAATGGACTAGATCAGTGGAGACATGCAGATATTGTTGAAATTGAAACCCCCGACAATGTAAATGCGTAGTTATTATATAACAATTAATCATACTTCTCTGTGAGAGTAACCTCCCTGATGCTAAGCGTACTGTTTGTTTACTCCTGTAGCCTGGCACGTCAGTTATTCACGCTGTACAAAAGTGGTCATCCCTCGTACATTGAAACTGGGTCGACGTTTCCCGCCCGTCCCCATGACTGAGCTTGTCTCCCTTTAATTTTTTAGCCCAAATACCACGCACGTGTTTGGTGCAATATTTTACAGTTAGGAATGTTTGAAAAAAATATTTTCATAATGATTTATGTATTTCGTATGTACACATCATTATACATGTGCGACATAAAGATAAGGTTACTTTAAAAAAGAATTTGGACGAGGGGCGATTGATAAGTTGTGAGCCTACCTCTGAAGGAGTGTGGTACGGATGAATTCCTTTGTGGTGGTGATAGACTGATCAAGTACAGTGACATACACAGGAGGATTGTTGTATTGGACACATTATTTAGTTTAGTATAAGCTATTGACTGCAAGGGGGGTTATGAGATGACTTAAAATGCAGAAACAGGAAAAGCGAGCTGTTATCAAATACCTTTACAAGAAAGGCTTAACACCCAATGCCATATATGAGGCTATGTTATCCACACTAGGGGAAGATGCCCCGGCATATGCAACAGTGAAAAGATGGGTGGCAGAGTTTAAACGTGGGCGATCGAGCACTGATGATGAACCCCGTCCTGGTCCACCTGTTGTGTCTTCAACACCTGAAATGGTACAGCGAATCCTGGACATAGTCAAGGACGACCGACGAGTGACACAGCGACAGATAGCCAACATAGTGGACATCTCTCAGGAGCGAGTGCATTTCATTCTGACAGATATTCTAGGAATGCACAAAGTTTCTGCTCGATGGGTCCCCAAACTGTTGACAGCTGATCAGAAACGTCAAAGAGAGAATCTCTCAAGGGAGAACCTCAAGCCTTTTGAAGGTGATCCAGATAACTTTCTCAAACGATTTGTTACAATGGACGAAACATGGGTCCAACACTTTGAACCTGAATCAAAACAACAGTCTAAACAGTGGAAACATGTCACATCTCCTACTCCAAAGAAAGCAAAGTCTGTGCCTTCAGCTGGGAAAGTCATGGCATCCGTGTTTTGGCATTCTGAAGGTGTGATCATGGTGGACTGGCTTCCTAAAGGCCGTACTGTTACAGGGGCTTACTATGTGGAACTTCTGAGACAGTTAAGAAAGAAAATCAAAGTTACGCGACGTGGAAAGTTGACGAAAGGTGTACTTTATCATCACGACAATGCTCCAGCACACACATCACTGATAGCAATGGTCAAAATCCATGAGTGTGGCTTTGAACTTCTCCAACATCCACCTTATTCACCCGTCGGACTATCATCTGTTCCCACAGTTGAAAAGGCATTTAGCTGGAACTCATTTCCAGTCAGATGATGACGTCATTACAGCGGTCAACAACTGTTTGAGTGAGCAAGAAGTTGACTTCTACAAAAGTGGCATAATGGCATTGCAGCATCGCTGGCAGAAGTGTGTTGACCTTAAAGGGGACTATGTCGATAAATAAAAAGCTTTGGTATCATACTGACTTTGTTTTCTTTGTTAAGCTTAGAACTTATCAATCGCCCCTCGTACATCTATCTGACAATTACTAATATCATAGATGTTGCCTCCCTTTGAGCATTGTGCCGGATTAACCCAAACATGTTTAGTGTAATCACTTACAGTTTGGAATATTATAAAAAATATTTTCATAATTATTTATGTATTTCGTATGTACAGATATCATTATACAGGTGATAAGATTTCTTTTAAACGTTTGTTGACATCTTTCCAACCATTAATCATACCCATGTAACTTGCTCAAGCCATATACAAATAAAGCACGGCCCATGGTGCTGTGCAGTAATAGTTTGTTGTTCAGGGGCGGTGATTTGTCTAACAATGATTATTCTTGGTATATATATTTTCAAAACATACATCAGCCCAAAACCAAGAAAAAGAATCAAGTACAGGAAGAATGGCTTAATAAACGGATGTCTTTAAGGAACGAAGCAAAGTAAATAGGCATTGACTAGTATCCTCAGCTGTTTAAAGCCATCTCCTTACCAGTGTTGATATAAACCAGAAATATTATACATGTATGTTTTCATTTTCGAGTACAGGAATAGGTACCTCTCTCTCTCTCTCTCTCTCTCTCTCTCAAGTGAGCTATTAATGAATAGGCGAGAAAATCTATTTTATTGACAAAAGAAAGACGTCAAAACGTTTCGTTGAACCTACGATGTATATTTACTGATACAAACAACATGAACATTACAGGATAAAGTGAGTATATTTAACGTGACAGCTTACACCACTAAACTCTGTGCTTAATAATGTGTAAAATGAATATTGTACGAAACGTAAACGGCATTAAATGAGGGGGAGAGAGAATTTGTACGGTCACTACTTCAGGACATAGAGGACACCTCGCATCTCGCATGTCTAGCGAACCATTTCTTCTCATTTGTAAAATCAATATAGGCTAACATAGTCCATTCCATCTTGAAGTCATCTTCCCGAGGCAAGGGTGTTAACTGACTATCAAAGTCCCGTTTCAAGTTAACTCCCTTGCCTCGGAAATATGCCTTGAAGTCTTATAATTATCCAGTATAAGAACATTCTAAGGTAGGAATTTCACTGCATGTATCTATGCCAAATTCCGTGAATTGTTTCAGAGGCATTTCTTAGAAGTTGGTGAATGACATTTTTTTGGATAACAACTTTTTTTAACATTGAATTATAGCGACGTTTCGGTGTAGATCCTTATGCGTTGTCAAGAAAGATTGATTTCCCGGAATCAAATTATTTTTATTTTCCACGTCACCAAATTATATGCTGTATGAGGTTACATGGAATATTTGTGATTTTGCACTGGCTGAATGAGTGATGTCGTTACCATTAAAGAGCAACGAGGCCCAGTGATCATCCACGTTAGGCCATGCCTAGCCCCCTGAATTATACCTGAGGATAAATCATTCTTATGACGTCATCCTATTCCAAGTGGATCCTGAACAACCAAATACCCCTGCATGAAAAATTGTTGGACCCATCCAATCTACACGAGGGAAACGTTGTTTGTTTTGTTTGTTTGTTAATCGAGTCTGCACCAGACAATCCAGTGATTGACATCATAAGCATCGATCCACGCAATTGGAATACGATGACAACGTGTGGTCTGCTGTTGCATAGAACTTTTCATTAAAAAAACATAGGTTGTGTTCTTGTGCATGCTTCTCATAAATTATTGAAGTCAGAGAAAGACCTCGAAAGCGTGACTTAAAACATGGACATATACTGAGACATGCGGCCCGCGAGGCGGGAGACAAAATATGTGATTTATTTGATATATATAATCACAGGAAAAATGGTGTGGGTATTGGTTCAAATTCTATTGAAATATTTCTCGTTCGGGCATATCTATTAAGCATGTGGCTAGCAAGTTTTGCATTGGAATGGCATACTATTATGTTGATGAAAACTAAATTGAAAAAAACCCCAACTAAATGAGATAAATTCGCATATTGCCAAAGACGTCACTACATGGTTAATACATGTACAAAGTTACATGATAAAATACAACTATTCTACTCCGAAAACGAATACCACCCTCATAGCTTTTACTGAAACCTGATACATTAACACAATTACCAAAAATAGTAAAGTCCATCAATACTATCATAATGTAACATGAATATACATGTAGATACATTGAACGGTTTTCACAATCTGCTGAAAAAGAAAGAAACCTAAACGTGTTTACATGTTGAAACGGATAAGTATTATGTAAATCAGTCTTCAGAAGCAAAATGTTCCAGTTCACTACCAGGTCATAAGCACACATGATTTTATAAACGTTTTCTGCTACGCAAAACGTGTTGGGCGGACAAAGTTATTTCTTCTTTCGTGTAAATTGACAAGTCTGCTATATTAAATATTCGAGATGCCTTTTCACGAAATAATTGTTTATCTGTGTAGATGCTTATGCATGACATGAACAATGCAGATTCAGGTGAGAGACGTGTAATACCTCTCACGCAAAGGTCAAAGCTCATGAATAACATGACGCCATCGATCAATTGTTTTTTCTGGACCCAACAGGAAATTGTCGAGTGTTGATATTGAAAACAGCGTATCCTTTGTTTAACAAAACTACATACACAAACTTTCTTTGGAGAAGAAAAAAATATCATGAGGCAAAGGAAAATTTGTATGAGTAACACGACTGCCACCAGGTTGTTTTGTGACATTTGGTAGTCGTGTAAACGGAAACTAGTTCTAAAATGGATGTTCCCAAGTGCTAGTCGAGATTAATTATGATATTGAACAGAATGCGCCGAAGTTTCACTGGTGGTTTATCTCCCCCTGTTCTTCCTGAAGACCTTCAAGATATCCTAGTACCTCCTTGTGGAATTCCTGATAGAAGGGCGTGGCTGTGACAGGGGGTTCGTTCCCCACAACACCGTGGGACCCCTTTCTCAGGATACTCTGTAACGCTAGAATACAACAATAGGGTCAAAACATGAATACACAGTGGTCTTGGCCGTCGGAAATATATCGTGTCCCTGTGCTTCCAGAAGAGTGCCTATTTTAATGCATAGTTGTGAAAGAGATCCCTCCTTTCCAGCGAGTAGAAAGGTTAATGAAAGGTTAGTGTACGTCATAGAACCGTTTCCTTAGTAGTTAACTAATGACTAATATTTACATCATAGTTTAATATCAACTTCCATTTATACATGTTGTTTTATTGTGCTGATAGTGTGCGGGTGAATGTGTCTGGGCGTGTTAAGAATTGACAAAAGCATTCTAACCGTCAGCATCATTAATCACTACTGTTGCTGCGTGGCTTGTTGTGTAGATCCTGCACTCTTCAACTACACCGTGTCTTCCTCCCGATTCGCTGCTCTCAAAATACGACCTGAGGGCCTCCTCCGTGACGTGCTCTGGCAGGCCCTTCACGACCACGCCGACCGCAGCCCCAACGTCGACAAGATCTATCTGATGGCCGTCCACCTGACGCCTCGACGCCTTGTCCTGACAGCGTCTGGCATCTACCGATATTGTACTCTACATTACATTACAGTCAATCAAACACTTTACAGATGAAACATATTAAACATATGAAATTATTAAGAAAATTATAGACAAGGGTACTCCATGGGAGGTCATGTAGAACATGGAGAAGTATATAGGGAGGTCATGGAAAACATGGAGACGTATATAGGGAGGTCATGGAAAACATGGAGAAGTATATAGGGAGGTCATGGAAAACATGGAGAAGTGTATAGGGAGGTCATGGAGAAGTATATAGGGAGGTCATGGAAAACATGGAGAAATATATAGGGACGTCATGGAAAACATGGAGAAGTATATAGGGAGGTCATGGAGAAGTATATAGGGAGGTCATGGAGAAGTATATAGGGAGGTCATGGAAACATGGAGAAGTAAACAGGGAAGTCATGGAAAACATGGAGAAGTATATAGGGAGGTCATTGAAACATGGAGAAGTATATAGGGGGGTCATGGAAACATGGAGAAGAATATAGGGAGGTCATGGAAAACATGGAGAAGTATATAGGGAGGTCATTGAGAAGTATATAGGGAGGCCATGGAGAAGTATATAGGGAGGTCATTAAAACATGGAGAAGTATATAGGGAGGCCATGGATAACACTGAGAAGTATATAGGGAGGTCATGGAAACATGGAGAAGTATTTTGTGAGGTCATGGAAACATGGAGAAGTATTTTGTGAGGTCATGGAAACATGGAGAAGTATTTTGTAAGGTCATGGAAACATGGAGAAGTATATAGGGAGGACCAATGGACCACGAATGACCAATCCCTTATTTCTGACTGCAAAGGCCATTTCTGACATTGTTGACACATAAATTACCAACGTGAAATCTTGTGAAATCTACAAATAATGCTGTTTGCAATTTACCTTCTATATCTTCCTCCATTGTAACCAGGGCAATGTGTTTGACTCTGTCATCAAAATAGTCGATCGCTTCTACTCCATTGTCACATATGACCTCCAGGAAGTTGACGAGTGTGTCCTCTGCGCATGCTGGCAGATTCTGTGAAGATATCAGACGGGATTAACACCTATCGTTTATCAAAATAATGTTTCTCACCCGTTCGCCAGTACTAATGTATCAGTGGTGAGGTCAAGAAAATGGGAGTTCAAGATTATTTCACTATTTTATCAACTTACATGCACGTGTTTGAGTGACTGCTTGTACTAGCCCTCCGAGCCGATCAGTCCTTATTTTTATCCAATTAATGCCGAGCGCCAGACAGGGTAACATTAAATACCATCGTTTAACGATAATGTGGTATGAGGCGACAAGGGGATCGAACCTCCGACCTTTTGCTCTCCGGGCAGGGGGCACGGGTGGCCCAGTCGTCTAAGGCGCCGCGATTCGCTGTGCAGAGTTGCGTCGCTTGGGCACGCCAGAAACCTATGATTGTGGGTTCGAATCCCGGTTCGCCCCGATTATGGTTCTAGGTTTGTCAGTACCATACCCATGCTCGTGGGTTTCACCGAACTGGTAAACGTCTGACACCTGCATCACTTCGGGCTTTCCTCCCACATTAAGCTGACACGCCGTGATATAACTGGAATACTGTTAAAAGCGGCGTTTAACCCAACTCACTCACTCACTCACTCTCCGGGCAGACGCTCTATCCACTAGACTACAGGGATGAATTAATCAACAAGTGAATTAATGTTGATTAAACGCCGTAGTCAGCAATACGGCATGTACGTCATCGAGTCTGGACTGGACAAACCAGTGATCGATGGAATGAGCACAATGATGCGCGGTTATTAAAATCACTGAGTCTGACCACCCGATCCTAAACCACATCGATCGACAAGCATTGGGCGCTGGATAATACGAACTATCAAATAATGACAGCGCCTAGATGGTAAACATAAGGATCAATGTGCACAGATTCAGTGTGAGCTGTTTGTTCTACAGTGAATCCTTGTTAATGCGATGCCCTGTGAGTGAATGAGTGAATAATTTGGGTTTAACGCCGCTTTGAACATCATTTCAGTTTTATAACGGCGTGTCAACTTATTGTGCTTAGAGTAAGGGAGTGAGTGCGTAAGGTTTTACGCCGCTTTTAGCAATATTCCAGCTGCACACATTCTACCCATGTCGGGAATCGACCCGGGTCTTCGGCGTGACAAGCGAACGCTTTAACCACTAGGCTACCCGACCGCCCCCTATTGTGGTTAGAAAGACCACAGTGGTGCAGGTCTCAAACGATTGCCACTTTGGTGAAAGGAACTACGATCCTAACACGCCTAAGAAATGTAACTCTGCACAGCGAACTGTGCGCCTTTGACGACTGAGCCTTAATTTCATCACGTGTTTGATTATTTCTTGCAAACATTGGTGCTAGCTCTTACAAACATGTCATACCAACACAGTGGGTTGGTTCAGTATACAAAGTTGGTTGGTTTGTTGTTTAACGCAATATTCCAGCTATATGACGGCGGTCTATAAATAATCGAGTCCATACCAGACAATCCAGCGAATAAAATCATGAGCATCGATCCACGCAAATGGGATCGATGACATGCATCAACCAAGTCAGCGAGTCTGACCACCCGATCCCGTTAGTCGCCTTTTACGACAAGCATAGTCGCTTTTTACAGCAAGTATGGGTTGCTGAAGACCTATTCTACCCCGTATCTTCACGGGTCTCAGTATGCAAAGAAGCAACACTAACTACCTTACGAGTGGCCATTCCAGGCACCTCGACCTTCACTAAAGGTCACTCTAAACCTTACCACACCAAGGCCCCACCCTAAAGATAATAGGTACCAATTTGCATCTGACTTCAGTTAACACTTCTTGAGTTATCATGAACATAATACACTTCGAACCCCAGGCCTGCAGAGTGAATCTAACCTTTAATGTCACAAATATTTCTAGAACAATCCCAGGGGCTCTATATACACCATATACACTAAATAGGGTGTGTCCAGGTGGAATTCAATGGTTCAACCAAACTATTTATCACATGCTGCTCATTCAAAAAAGGCCACAGTGACCAACGTATGGTAGCATGAGATTGACATCACTTGTATCTGCAAGTATCTATTATCTGCAAGACAAAAGCCTTTGTGAAAATGCCAAACAAAATATAAGAACACACAACCTTTCCTATAGTCGCTCTCGTCGTTACATGCATGACGAATACTTAATAACAAAAATGTGAAATTTACGCACTTTCGCTTTCGTTTTACATCAAGGCCGTTTATTGTTGACAAGGTCATACGTGAACATGTTATCCATTACGAAGTAATTCATGCACGTCAGGCGGTAATGTTCGTCAAGGGCGGAAATACCTGTATATACAACACTAAAATGCGTGGGAAACCCAATCTATTCGAAATATGGGTGTCAGTAATTGGTCCCGAGTGAACGAAGGCTTCGTCCCGGTGTTGTTTAGCTTATAGGTTGTCGTACATCATTATATTTGAGTATACACAAAGTGGTGAGTGAAAAGGACCCTATTGCCCTCGTTATATATGCGCTGTGGTATTGTACGAGGGAATTGTATCAGTGATCAAAAATATAAGTGCACAACACAAGAAGAAGCACTCCTCACTTTAGCAACAAGCAGTCTCTTCTCCATCTTCTGCATCATCAATATGTTCTCTTGTAGAGATGGCGGGGATGTGTACACAGGTAAAACCTTCTTTAACCAAGTGTTTTGTTAATCGTGTCAGTCCAGGATGAATTCTCGTTTGGTAATGCAGTCTTAGTTTCGATTTCAAACGGGAGTCACGTGATCGAACCACAGCACAAATGTCACTTCATATACATGTATAATGCAATGGAATGACGGCTGTAGCGTCAAGGCCACACTATTCATTTAACGGAGTCGCTGCTTTCAGTATCTATACTGCAACGAGACACCAAGTCCTACGTGGTTCTTGTGTGGGAATTCGAATTCGGACCTTGAACACTGAGTCCATACATTACGTGCATGGGCTCTTTGTTTTACAGAAGATTTATCTTTTAAAATTGTCTCTTGAAATTAGTCAAATACCACCACCAATATATTTAAACGACTAACTGTGAAGAATATTTGACCTAACAACAGTACACATCGACATCTCTTTGTAGTGTCACCATGTCAATCTCAAATAGTATACCAAGAAACATTAAGGCTAAAAAATAGATTGACCATTCCATAATTTCGGATAAATATACTATCTTATTACTCAATACATAAATGGATTATTTTTCCCGTCTGAAAGCATGGTGTTGGTCTGTGTCTTGTGGTCAATATTGACTTCATTGTGGAGAAACACACCCACGGGTCATTACATTGTAAACAGTAATGACCAAACGTAGCTTTTTCAATATAAAAATGTTATTGGAAACTCATGAACAAATTCAGATGTCATCATTGGTAGGAAGAAACATGACAAGTTACAGTTTCATTGGTCCAGTGTTCTCAGGACATGAAGTTTACACTCCGAGAAAATACAATTTGAGCGCATTTAGGAGCATGGACAAAGATCTAACGTCCAATAAATGTAAACATTAAAATATCGCTATAAAAGGAACATATGTCTTCAGACCCCGTATTAACTACATACATACCACGTCATTACATATTGAACGGAAATGGCTAAGTAATGGCCACAAGTAGATTCAGCATTCAATGTGATCACAGTGAATAGATAATACATGTTGAACAACAACACAAACGCATGTAGCAAATTTAATTACATTTTGAACAAAAATGACCGAACAGTGACAAGGAGTAGATTGTTCAAAATGGCTCCCGTGATTATATTTAAAAAGGCCAAAGATAAGTAGCATAATAATATAAAACAAGATTCATCAGAAGATGGCCAATCCCCCTGGCCCCGACTTATTCTAAAGAATAAATCATCTGATAACAGCTAGTATGACAAGAGTGATCTGTCCATCTTGATGAAAGTATTCCTATCTAATATGTCCGTCATCTGCCCGGGGCAAGGGAGTTAACTGATTTTAAAAGTCCAGTTTCCACCCTTGCCGAACTGGCTGGAATTCCTGGGCTCGACCGTAGCGCCACCAGTGGCTATTACGAGTTATGTCCCTCCTGGAAGATATTTGAGCATTTAAAATGCGTATAAACAAAGACATGAAGTCGTAAAATCTATGTATTGTGCTTCACATTGTATTATTGGCACTGCATTTTCTTGTATATGGGCCAAAGGCCTACACACAAATAAACTAATTTTGACTTGACTTTGAGTTATGTCCCTTCTAAGCCTCTCACATGGACCAATCAGATTCCAGCTCTTGTATCATTTGCATTTCTTTCAAACAAAATGGCGGCGCCAAGTCAAGACGATCTGCTCGATAATCAAGATCTATTTTGTGATTAAAAAGGGTCTAAAATCGCGAAATGCATCAAATCAAGTGAACACCTTGATTAAAAACATGTAAAATTTGGAAAATATCTGCTGACGAGTTGGCGGTGCACACGTTTTGCAAATCCTGCAGTCGACGGAAGTCTGCACGACATTTTACGAACCGGATTTCGATTTCGGTGTGTGATTTTGATTGGACTATGCATAGACTCGTTTGTCCAGCCAAAATGTAACTCCATAATACCAGCCTAGTTCGGCAAGGGTGGAAACCGGACTTTTATAGTCTGTTAACTCACTTGCCTCGGGAAGATGTCTGTCCGTATTATAGGGACAGACAAGCTGATTACTTTTTCCCTCCGTATTAAATACCGGGAAATAAAAATTACTTTCTTACTGAGTTGGGCGGTTGGCTTTGCCATCCAAGCAACTACGAAACAGAACATTTACACGTAAGAGGCTGTGAACTTAGAATTTAGGCGCCGAAACACACCAATGTGATATACGTGCAACATCACTTGTTGGGCATGTCATCACAATCTGACAGTAGATTTATGGTAGTCGTGGGGAACGTTAAGTACAAAATTGCTGACAGGAAGTGGGCGGATTTGGTGGTGGTAGCGGGATGATGTGGGCAGCCATCTCCAACACGGGTAGAACAGACTTGGAACAAGTTATGGGGAATTAACACGGATGAGATTCTTCGGGCCACACTCCTTCCCATTATGCAACAAGCGAAAGTCATTTTCCAACAAGACAACGCCCGACCTAACAGCAAGACTGACAACAGCATTTGTCAGGAATAAAATAGTATTTAAAGAGAAAATTATTGAATTTGCCACTCGAATTATAAACTCGATTGAACATAATTATCTTCACATTATTTGGTGCTCTAAAATAGTTTTGGTGTATGCTGAACTGTCATTTGCAAAACACTGCTTCAAAATGTCCAACATTTTAGGCCTAAAACTACCATGTACGACTTGGTGGTCTTGTCTGCTCCAAAATGACTCCACTGAGAAGTCGCATCCCCCGCACCAGTCCTGTGATGGGTGTGAACATGTGTGAGCAAAGGTCGTGCAGTCATATGTAGTGGATAAGATCCACCTGTAATTGGTTCCATCAAGAACAAGTATTGCCAGTGTAAATGTGTCATGGAAAAAGATACCTAGTAAACCTGTTCCATGGGAACAATTCCTACACCGACATATAAACGTGTGAATATTTCAAACTTTATTGTCTCCAATTTTGGTGCAAAGAAAAGCCTATTGTCCAGTTTCCATGAATCCTCCATCTAACACAGAAGCAACATCAGCAACATCGTTGACACACACTTTCTTGTCGTGATACATTCCTTCAACATGATTTCTTTTTCATTCACATTCACGAACAGACATAAATAAGAAAGACAACTTAATAGTTCCAAGTTTATTTACACAAAGAATATCAAATATTCAGCACACATATAAATGTGTTGCTGCTATCATGAAGATAAATCAGTCTGCACATACTTCTCCAGAATATCTACAACATTTACAGATTTATGTACAACTTCCTAAACACTGTACAGGTGTCAAACTTGTTTTACCTTCCAGTTGAATCCAAATGAGTATTTCATGAATGCAGGGCAGACAATATTTAGGGTTATTTGTTTGTTGTATAAACCCGCACCCAGCAACATTCCAGGTTTTTGACGACGGTCTGAATAATTTTGTCTGGACCAGACAATTCGGTGATTGACATCATGAGCATCAATCCACGCATCAACAAAGTCAGAGTCTGACCACCCGATCCTGTTAGTCGCTATTTAGGGTTAAAAGCAGTGCTTGCACGATCCATTCGTAATATAATAAATGACAAAACAAACGAGTACAAGCGTTTTCCCAAACCAAACGTCAACAAAAGTTGTCTATCATACAATCAGCACTGTATTTGGGGGTATCTTCTAGGTCCAACCATGAAGTATAACTATTACACAAACTATTAACAATGTTCTCATAGTTCAAACCACCAAACAGAACCTTTTTCAATGTTACACTTTACAATAACATTCAACATCGGATGTTTGTTGCAACGCTTCAAACTATCAGAAAAGAGAAATGATTCCATGGTCCTTGCAAAGCCAAGAAATACCAAGGCATAGTGGCCTCTCGTACAAGGAAGACAACACTGTCAGACAGCATGATCTGGTTCACGCCATGGGACAGTCCACTCGCCTAAAAGGAAGACAACTTGATCTCGCTCATGGTTCACGCCATGGGACAGTCGACTCGCCTATAAGGAAGACAACTTATCTGACTACATGATCTGGTTCACTCCACGAAACAATACTCATATGAGGAAGACAACATTGTCAGACAACATGATCTGGTTCACGTCCATCATCTGGTCAATGGCTTGCATGATTTCATCCTGAGTAAACTCGGAGCCGGCTTGTTCCTTGTTAACGAAGGCCCGGATCTTGTCCAGCTGCACTGACTGAGCGTGTTCAGCCTTGAACAGGTTGAACAGGGAGCTCCGGAAGGTCTTCAGTCTGTGGAGAGGACATATATTGATTACCAGTTAGTTTGATCACTGAATGCTTACCTGCCTCTTGAAAAGAGTGAGCAAATAACGTTTAACACTGCTACCAGAAGTGTTTCAGTTGTGTGATAAATGCAAGAGGAAAAGAATCCCAAAGAGTTTGTAGAGGGTTACCACTTTGATTAGATTCATGGAGCACAGACAGCCTTAGAAATTAAGTTTTCTCAAAGACGAGTCCAGAAGCTACTGGACTCTATTTCACTTGTCCGCCTACTTTCTTGCTAGTCCTGCTTGAACTACATAAACATGTTTACATTTTCTGTCAGTTTGACATAATTCAAATTTGTAGGAAAATTGAAGCATTGAGAACTGGTTCAGGATTATAGCCCTCAATATAACTATTAGTCGGGTGGACTACCAGCACTGGATTTTTGATTGTCCTCAGTACAATTCAGTAGTCTCAGGCTGTTGGACCTTCGTGACTTTCGAAAGGCTGTATGGTAGTCTGATTTAGGCCATTATTCTGTTCTGTCTCTTCAGCTCCGGCTATATTTCTCCATACAGTAACATTAAAATCTACTGAAAATGATGCTGAGGTCGAGGAGACAATCGATGTGGCACAGAAGGGTCAAGGAAATTTGGGGAATCACATGACCAGTGCTTCAGATGGCTTTGGGAATCATTGAGCCATAGAAATATATCTGCAACACAGACCCATTTTGGGTTTACTGGTTACTTACTATGTGAATGTGAGTTCTAGCAGACATAACTCAGACTGGATAGCAACTCACCTGTCATCTGACAGTTTCTCTGACTGTGAGGACTCATCAGCATCCATGGCCGATTCTGATCTCCGTGGCAACCGCCTCTTCCTCTTCTCAGTGCCCTCCGATGTGTCATCTGAAAATAGTCACAATTTTTGTTAGACAACCCTTTTCAACCCACAACCTGTCTAATACATACCAAAACTCAAAGAAACGTCCTCTATATCTCAACATGACAATCACTGCAAGTTTTGAGTGGATGTGCACCTTCAAGGTGGTACCAATCCTTGATATTACTGGAAATGTCATTTAAAACCCATTCAAGTCAGTGCAAACACCACTTTTCACAGTATTTAAGTGATATAGTGTGTAAGTGTAATGTGTGATGAAAGCCCAGTTAGTGGATGTTTGTCACCAAGGTGACACCCATTGGCATGGAATCTCACCCTCCGCCTGACTGTCTTCATCCCCAGAGAAATCATATGGGTCGTAACCATCTTCTCCTTCCTTCTTCGACGGACGGCGTTCTCGCACTTCCTTGCGCCTGCAACACAAAGAGTACAATGTTAACACTGTTGCATACATTCTTTTTTTCATCCTATATATTTCTTATTGGGTATGTAGGCCATAGGCCCATGTACATTTCATACATAAACAGTTACATATTTGTGAGAGGCATTACTAATGGTCAAACATTCAAGAAAATGACGAGAATTGCTGCCAACTAGTTCTCTGCACAACATCAAGTCAACTGGTTTCCTTCAAATATTCAGCCATGACCATATACCACAAAGGCTCCCAATTACCTGATTACCACATTCCTGTGAACGGCAATTCCTTTTAATCCACACTCAGCAATATTGCAGCAATAATCACAAATACCAATCAAATAATGATATCTTGGCCAGGTGAGGTGAAATGGGGTTTAACGTCGCGTCCAAGATTATTGCACTTATATAGCGATGTGCATGTACATGTACATGTGTGTGTTTGTGTGGCTGCTTATACTAGTCCGGACTGACGCCGATTTATAGTGCTAGCTCACTGAGATACCATGCCGCAGTTTAACAGTAATGAATACCCCACTCAGACACAGTATACTGACTCCGAGCCGACCAGTCCTTGTTTTAGCCCCTTAATGCCAAGCGCAAGACAGGGTAACAACAAGTACCATCTTTTAACGTATTTTGGTATGACGCGGCTGGGGATCGAACCCCGGACCTTCCTCTCTCCGGGTGGACGCTCTACCACTAGACCACGGAGGCGGTCATCTGGGCCAGGCCATCTAGTTGATGGGTAACTATGACTTGGGGCATGACACTCAGCTGAGCTATATATTGCAACCACAGGACCCGACTTGCAACAAGCTGGGGTAAAGGTTATTTCCACAAGATGGCTGGGAGCCGTGACATTCCAAACTACTGTGTTCATGTGCAACAGTAGCACTTCTTACGTTCAGTTTTCAACTTTCACGTTTGCAGTCACAACTAATTTATTCAACTGACCCATGTGAAAAGTTCACATTTCTTCCATATCAAATCACCACCAAAAGTATTGTACTCACTTCTTCTTCTTTGGTTTCTCTTCTTCCTCTCCTTCCTCTTGGCTACTTTCCTCTGTTTCATCTTCATCATTGTGCTTCCTTCTCCGGCTCTTCTCCTTCTCCAAAACCTGCAACAAATTACGCAAAAAAAATTAAACCAGAATCAAATGCATGCGCATACGTATAGTTCTAGTAAATTCCAAGATATTTTTTATATTTGTATACTTATCCTGCATTACTCTTTAAAACATCTACTATTTGTTCTTGACAGCGAGAAAGAGCTGCGTAAGGTCTTGCTGGAGAAGAGGTTGTTACAACTAGCTGAGAGGACAACCCTATCACACAGCTTCCAAGTGACCATGGAAGCGATGACATCATGGGTCAGCACATTACTGCTGTCAGCCCACAGAAGGAAGACCTGTGTTGTAATGCTAGTGAATTTTTTCTGAACTATATTGTTCAATCATATTCAGGAATACATGCCAACTTAATGCCTGCCATTAGTTTCAATCATTGTTCTAAATTTCAAACCATATCAACTTTGGGAGAGTTTTATATGATGAACAGAGCTACAGATAAGCAGGGCATTTGCGTAAAATACCCAAATAATTTTCAAAACCCAATTACTTTCAATCAACATGCGTACAGAAATGCATGCATTAAACATGTTAAATGAAAAACTCAAATATATAAAAAAAAGCATTCGTATATACCAAATGAAGCTTTTTCAGGATGCATACAAAGGAGCTAATTTCCGAAACAAAAATTACGAGCTGATTTACTTCCAGAGTCAAACCTATATATTTAGAACAATTATATACATCTAAAACATTATTTCATTTTATATTTTTTAAATCTTGAACTGGAGCTCTGGATGAATACTTAGTTCCAGGCTAGAAAGTAGGTTCTGTAAGGAAGTGCCATACTTCTAGTTTCTCATTCATCAGTGGTGAAATCAAGTATCTCGTACCTTCTTGAAATAAGCGAACTGTATGAGTTCCACGGCAGCCTGGGCATCCTGGAGGTCGACAGTCTTGGACAGCCTGGACTTGGCATGGGCCGTGGAGATACGGATCATGGTTTCAAGTGCTCGGGCTGTCACTGGCTGAGTCTATAGAGAAATAAACATCTTCAATTCAAATGCAACAATTCACTTACAATGTTCCACTTCCTAATTCATATAGGGTAAATAGCATATTCTCTAACATCAGGCTGTATAAATCACACCATTTTCATTTTATAAATGAAATATAAAAAATGTTAAACATCTCTGGATGTTTTATGCAACATTCAAAGTTCAACTGTGGTTCAACTGAAACAATGTTAAGAATTCATCAATTCATCTACTGATGCTGAATAACACATAATTTCCCCCATGGAGATGCCTAGGATGGGACCCCAGCAACCGATGCATGTACAAGGCAAATAGGTGAGTGGTTATCATTCTTGTTGACTTGATTGCATGTCACCTACCCTAAGTGTGGGATGTTGCTCATGATATCAATCACTGGTTTGTCTGATTTAGACAACCATGCATAGAGAGCCTATGAAAACCTCCATCGGATGTTCTCCCACCTACCCGTGCAACGTTGCTCTGCTGGAGGTTGTCTTGACTTCTTAGCTTGGCGTACTCCTCGGCGATGTAGTCGGACGCTTCCCGTGTGAGACTGGGCTTCAGAGCCTTGGCTACATGGATGTACTTCCTCATGAACTCCATACTCAATATCTTGTCCCTGAAAGCAGATTCTGTCTGTCAAAAAATGATACACCACTCAGATGCTACGGACAATAATCTTTACAAGAGTTATCAGGAGATGACATATCCCCCGGGGCGGGTGCAATTCGGAAATGGAGTTTGGCTACTTATACCCGTACTTATACCTTATTGGTTCATTGCCCTTGGATACCTTGAGTTCAGTGAAGAAAAATCCTTAATCATCCAAGGTACCAGTTCACCACTAGACTCATCTGCATAGCAAGTTACATTTAGAAATATTCAACTGTTTTAGAGATCTGCTCCAGAAACAAGCACTACCTTCATTTTCAGTATAATTCCAACTTTCTATGGACATGGTGATCCCTTTATTCCCCTGTGTGTGTGTGTGTGTGTGTGTGTGTGTGTGTGTGTGTGTGTGTGTGTGTGAGAGTGAGTGAGTGAGTGAGTGATAATCATGTATTATTTTTTTTTAAATTTCATAAACAAACAACAGTTGACAACATATACCAAAACTTTTTTTATTATACTGTAATTGTGACGTCTGGTACAGGAAACAGTACCAGGATCTATACCGAAGAATCACTATTACAGTATAATAAAAAAAGTTGTTATCCATAAACTTGTCTACTTTGTCAACTTCAAAGAAATGCCAATCAAACAAAACCAGTTGATCATAAAGTAACAATATTGACAAACATGCTATAATGTTGATCCACAACCAAATGCTTGAGATTTGTCATTGAAATACACCTGCAGATTTGAAAAATCTCTATCTGTGCAATAGGTACTCCACCGAGGACAATCAATGAAAAACACAAACACCAAGATTGCACCTACTTTTTGCTCCTGGAACTGCCATGCAGCAACACATCATATTTCTCGTACATGGGCGTCTCCTCCGACTGATCCCGATCAGCCTCCGGGTCCTGCGTGGCCAACATGTCCACCGAGCTTCCCATGGGCAGAACTGAAAGAAAACAAATTCTAATTATCATTTTCCATGATACTGTTTCTGGTTATATTAACAAATTGGGATGTTTGAAGCAAACAATACAACATGAGCAAATATGAACAAATATTTTCAGGTTAATTTTATTGTAGTGAAGATTGAGTTATTTTATATCAGTATGTACGACCTTTTTTCTTTGTTTTGTGTGTTCAGAATATAAAAATATCCAAAGCCAGCATACCGTCTCCATCCTGCTCATTGCCAGCCCTGTACCTGTGCATTCTCAGAACGTGGTCTGATATATTACGATCGCTGTCAGGGTCCATCTGAAACATTACAGGAAACTAGATGTCTTGCTACAACCATTTACAATTTGGATGCATTACGATCTTATTAAAATCAGACCTAAGTTCTCGCTACTGCTAAAAAAAGATCTGAGGACATCCCATTAAGGGTCACATCAGAACGACCTTTCATCCAACCAATCAGAGCGTCACTTAACACATCATGAAAGTGACAGTCGGAATATTCTTTTGTTCAGGTTTCAAATTTTAAAATCGAGAATTTGTCAAAATATGTTTTGAAGTGAGTTGCCAATTGGAAATAAGTGCTGTAAAGCACGAGAAAGCTGTTTCATGATTGGTCATTCCATTGGTCGGTCAAAGTTCGCGCAAGGTCGGTCTGACATGACCCATACTGGGATGTCCTAAGATCTTTGTTTAGCGGTAGCGAGAACTAAGAACTGGTTTTAATGAGATTGGGATACATTACCTATAGCAAATTTATATTTTGGCCATAGGACAGGCAACACATTCAAAAACTGACATACAAGACATTTCTGACTCATTAATATTGCTTTGAGAGGAAAACACTGAAAATATGTTCTCTTCTGTTTGGCTGTAGACTAGAGCAAGGTTCTAGAGCAATATTCAAAATATTTCAGGTTCTTGAACACACTGAGTAAATATTGAAAAACAGGTTTGAAATAAAACCTCACAAAATTCAAGACGGGCATCCTTGTACTCACCTTATCAAGGACAATGAAGAGAAGATCAAATCGAGACAAAAGGGAATCCTGGAGGCCAATATTCTCCATAGGTGTCTTGTACTGGTCATACTAAATGAAAGACCAAAAATAATAATGCATTTAAAGTGCCAACATGATTCAGTGTGAGTGAGTTGGGTTTAACGCCGCTTTTAACAGTATTCCAGTTATATCACGGCGTGTCAGCTTAATGTGGGAGGAAAGCCCGAAGTGATGCAGGTCTCAGACGTTTACCACTTCAGTGAAACCCACGAGCACGGGTAAGGTGCTGACAAACCTAGAACCATAATCGGGGCGAACCGGGATTCGAACCCACAATCATAGGTTTCTGGCATGCCCAAGGGACGCAACTCGCCTTAGACAACTGGGCCCCCCGTGCCCCCTACATGATTCAGTGATTGAGAGAGATGGTTAAGCACCACTTTAACAATATCCCTGTTGTATTACACTTGTGAGCTTCATGTGGGAGGAAGGCTCAAAGTGATGCAGGTCCTGGTGCTGACAAACCTAGAAACACAATCGGGTTCAACAACCAAGTATAGGTTCCTGGCATGCCCAAGGGACACAACTCTGCACAGTAAATTTTGACACCTAAGACAACTGGGCCACCTGTGTCCAATAAATAAAGAATATAAGATATGATTCAAGAAATCAAAACTGAAAACATAACATTTATGCCATGGACATTTTCAGAGAATGTGAAAGCCATTTATGTCAAACAGAAGATTAATGAGCACAATTATATTCTCACCCTTCCATATACCGGGTTGGCTGCAGCCAGCACGCTGCACCTTGCGTTCAGCTTAGCATGAATTCCAGCCTTGGAGATTGTCACACGACCCTGTTCCATGACCTCGTGTATTGCTGTTCTGTCAATGTCAGACATCTTGTCGAACTCGTCAATACACACAATGCCACGATCAGCCAGCACCATAGCACCAGCCTCAAGGCGTCTCTCCCCTGTAAACAAACAAGGATACAACATAAATCTTTTTATTCATATTTGGCAGTTGATGTCAAAATTAATTCAGAAATGTTTCAAGGATCAATTAGCTCAGGTTTATACAGTTGGTCTGTGTAACGCCGAACCCAGTTATATTTCAGTGGACTGTAAAAAATCGAGGTCTCATCCACACAATCCAGTGATTGATGTCATGAGCACAAATCAACGCAATTCGGGAACGAGGACATGAAAACAACCGAGCCACTGTGCCTGACTACTCGATGCATTTAGTCACCTAATACAAGCATAGCTTGCTGGGGATCTATATTCTTACCCGAAATCCACACCAGTCTACTTAATAGTAACATGTTTTCCTTATTAAGATAAAGACTAATGTAACTGTTCCATTCTGAAGACTGAATGAAGACCTACCAGTTTCTTGGTATTAAGATAAAGACTAATGTAACTGTTCCGTTCTGAAGACTGAATGAAGACCTACCAGTTTCTTGGTATTAAGATAAAGATTAATGTAACTGCTCCATTCTGAAGACTGAATGAAGACCTACAAGTTTCGTGGTATTAAGATAAAGATTAATGTAACTGCTCCATTCTGAAGACTGAATGAAGCCCTACCTGTTTCTTGGTCTGATGTGACAGCTGCGGTAAGTCCGACACCGGATGACCCTCGGCCTGTGGTGGGGATGGCTCTCGGAGCAGTGTACAGCACATACCTGAAACAGTCACACATCACTTCAGCATCTCAAGGCAAATGAAAATCAAGGGAAGATAACTTGAGACTGCGAGAATCACGGAAATGGATCCAGGGGTTAGTGTAGGTGTACCGAATTGCCAGCCTTGGAGATATAGAGGATGATCGTTACACCACCTGAGTCAATAATAGTTGGTGTCTTCCCCACACAAACATACCACAGGTACAGCAGTTCATCTTATTTTAATCAAAAAACCAAATGTGCGCATGTACTGTTTGTTCAAAAAAGGTTACATTTCCATATAAGCTGCTTAAACAATCTAAAACAAATATACAAAGTTCTAATTATGAACAAAATTTGTCAAATGTACACACTGCTGACATCCATGTGAGCAAATGGGTACTGCTGTAAACAACATTATCTGATAGCCGTTTTAAGTGTTTCAGTTCTAAATCCAGTCGAGTCCATACACAAATCCCTGGGGAGTGTTAATATTCAAAGGAAGAGGACCAGCTGGCTCACCTCAGCATCTGTGACTTGGCCACGGAGGGATCTCCGATCAGCAACACATTGATGTCTCTGAAAGTGATCATCAAAAGGGAATTCTGAGTACAATTTAAAAAAACATACTTCCCAAAGACATATCCACATTTGCAAAAGAAGTTCAACAAAACAAAAGTTGTTCACGTCTCTCATTATTGATTATTTCATGTTGCCTGCATGGCATACCAGAGGCCCACTCTGCCCCAGGACAGCAAGGGTCAAATGTGTGAAAACAACAAAGACATAGAACATTCGCCTGGCATACAAATCCTCTCTAACCTGATGTTCATAATACGACACTGTGAAGTCAGTAAACAGAGATTCATAGAAACTAAGAACATCTTTGTCTGAGACATCTCCTCACCCTCTGAGCCGAGTGCCATTAGCTAGAACCTTCTCATTCCCCCCGAGCAGCATACAGAGGACAGCCTTCTTGATGTATGGATGGCCACAGATAGATGGCGCCACGGACTTGCTGAGTGCCTCGAACACATCCTGTAGGCAAGGGAGAAATGTCAGATCAGCTGGTAATACTAATGCTGGGAGCGCAGACATAGGAATTAACAACGAATGTTCACTAGCCCAATAGTGACAACATATATACAAATACCTCCCAAAATGTTTGAAATCCTACTAGCCCTAAGGATACATTTAACATTAACAAAACTGGTCTATACTAGTGACTTGTGCTATTTCCATTCCTAGAGTGAGCGAATGTTGTTAAACGCAAAAGTATCAATATCAAACGTCTGTGGTTGATATAACAATGTCCAAAGTTATTTGTAACAGTCAAACTGAGGTATTTTCCATAAATTCAATGATAAAATTGTTGCCCAACCTTTCACTGTTGGTTGTGGGGAGACAGTAACTATACATTAAGTCAGGAAAGTGCGACAGTTCTGAGTCCATTAGACCGAGAAGTGTGAAAATCTAAACCGACAGGTTGTTTGCTTCTAAAATGTAGTTACTTTACATAAACCATTAGTCTGAAAGGAGCTGTGGTTAGTTGGATGTGAGAAATGATCTCTTCCCCTGTACTGTTCATTCTTTGTACATCATCCTACGCAGCTTACGATGTTCTTGGCCTTCCCGAACTTCTTTATTTTGGCAACGTCATCAGCTGAGAACAGGGGCGAGACTTCCTTACTCAGCAGCTGAACATTGTTGCCGATGAGGATTGTGCGAAACGTGCCAGTGGTGTAGCCATTCTTTTTCCCTGGCAGACACCGGAATGTACCAATGACTTGAACCCTATCTCCGGGCTGCAACCAAACATACAAGTTATCTCATCAGAGTTAGAAACTACCAGTTTCTGTCCACTAGTCCTTATTATGATAACATATGGCAAAACCCTTAAAATTGGCAATTTCTACTAGTCCTTATGATACCTTTACCATTGGGCAGTTTGGCAAGGACTATAGGACTAGTGCCAATTTCTAACGCTGCTCATGGGTGTTAGCACATATAAAATAGCATGAAGTCTGCATCCTGGCACTGATGCACCAGTGTTGAGGCCTACAAATCCATCCTCTTCCAAAGACACCACAAAATTTGTCATGTCCAAGGAAACTTTGCATATGAACTGCCTATAAACAATTAAATCAGGTTTAGGCCCTGAAAGATTAAATGTAAAACATTTGAGAATAATAATTTAAAAAATCAAATTTGATGGGCCACAAAGCGAGACTGAATACATCGTTTCTAAGTAACCAGGCCAGCCATGTTGGATTTATACTGCAGCTCTGTACTCGGGATGCTATTCCTGGTGAATGCTTACCTTGCATTTGTCCACCAGATCGTTGTCGGCTACAATCTCCACAGATCTTGGCAGCTGGCCAGGAGGGGCCTTCTCAGGCATTTCCTGAAAATATCCACAACACATAGATGTAATTTCACTTCATATCATTTGAGCATCATAAATTTCTAATGTATCACTTCCAGGTGTCAAACAGGACCAGCGTTTATGTGAGATCAAACAGGACCAGCGTTTATGTTAGATCAAACAGGACCAGCATTTATGTTAGATCAAACAGGACCAGCGTTTATGTTAGATCAAACGGGACCAGCGTTTATGTTAGATCAAACAGGACCAGCGTTTATGTTAGATCAAACAGGAACTGCGGACACAGATCAATGGTCAACAGAATCTTTGTTGAGAATAGGAAAACATGAGATGTCAACAATTTCACAAACCAATCTGATCACTTCATAACAACTGGTCTAGATTAATGCTTACTGGAATTTGACCCTGAACAGTGTTTCTTCATGCCTCTACTAAGCCATTACCTGAATGCCAAAAGTCTGGTGATCCTTGTACACAGACAGACCAAACTCAGTCTCCAACAAGTTGCCGTCTTCATCCTTAAAAGAAAGCACATTTTTGTAACATGTTTGCCTGTAACACCTGCCTCAAATTTTAATATTTAACATAATCCATGGTAAGAAGTATTAAAAATCTTTTATTTAGGGCTAGGATTAGGGTTAGATTGCCGTAATCCAGGCACAATTTGAAGCAGAGGTTACATGCAGAAATCTTTCAAAATATTTCACCATCTCATCAATTTGAAATGTTCTTACTAAATAGTCCTCATAGAGGTAGAAATTCTGTGAAACTGAACTTCAGTTTTCCTAGCAACATTATAGCTGTAATGTCATGTTTATATATGGACCACTATTTGTTGAGGCAACTGGCCCATTTGTTTGTTGTTTATGCAATATTCCAGCCATATGACGGCGGTCTGTAGATAATCGAATATATACCAGTAATTGACATCAAGAGCATCGATCCACGCAATTGGGATACAATAACATGCATCAACCAAGTCAGCAAGCCTGACCACCCAATCCCGTTAGTTGCCTCTTACGACAAGCATTGTCGCCTTTTTACGACAGGCATGGGTTGCTGAAGACCAATTCTACCCCGGATCTTCACGTTTCCAAACAAAATTGATTCTTGATTTCAGACTAGTAGTGACGTGTGTCGCGGACAGTCATGGTTATGTCATTACCTTTGTGGGGTAGGCGGCAGTGCTGGGGTACGCCTCCAGTGACGTCATGTCGGTGTACTTCCTCTCCATCGTCTTCTTTGTTGCAGGACAGTAGTGGACACTGCGGACAACTTTTGGACGGATAAGAGAACCTGTGGAAAAATAACAATGATCTCTAAACATCAACAAACAACTACCAGAGGGCCATAGATGATCATGAAGAGAAAACAGGTTTGCAACTATTGTGAATAAAAACAAAAATCAAAATGTCAAAGAATTCATTTTGTTAAGCCAGGTGGCAAAGGACCAAGAAATGGCTTAATATGGAAGTCTGATGAAACTTGTAATGACACGTTTCCAAACACACAAGTTGTATCGTTTCACACAGACGTTTCTTTAAACCAGCCATATCACTGCGACCTGCAATAATCAAGTCTGTCTTAATGCTGCACTCAGCACTATTCCACCATAATGATGGTGGTCTATAAACAATCGAGTCTGAACCAAACAATCCAGTGATTGACATCATGAGCATCGATTTGGGATACAATGATATACATCAAGCAAGTCTGACTACCTGATCCCTTTCGTCCTCTCACAACAAGCATGGGTTGCTTAACTCCAATTCTAACTCAGATCATTTATGGGGTAACAAACCAGTGGATGATTCACTGGCAGCAATCAACATCAAGTTCAGCCAGGTCACACATTACAAATACTGCATCAACATTAAGCATGTTAAGTAGGTACTTCTTATTATCATCTGTAATTTCTTGAGTCTCAAAAACATACTTACATTTTGTGACAATACCCTCCACACACACCATGTTGCCCAGGAAACGAGATGTCAGTGATCGTGGGGTTACATGTTTCGAACCAAAACTGGAACCAACAGAAATGTTTGAATGAATCTTCCTTTCAAAATGAATTCTCAAGAAACAAGGAACAGACTTCACACATTTATCATGTTAGTGGCCAGCGATAAACTGTACATGGAGTTTACAATCAAGGAGCATAACTCCAGATTCTTCTACATATTTGTAAAAAAAAAGATGGGCAAAAGTCAGAGGCTGTGAAAAACCTGACATTGTTACGGCAGTTCATGTTCATGACAGCATCTCTAAATTTATGTTAACCAAATGAAAAACCTTCCGATGCTAACTTACAAATTATAGCCAATCTAGTGGTAGATAAATTTCCGAATTTCAACTTATTTAGGTCACTCAAACATTTGGTAATTTCCACTTGTCCAATGAATACCTAACCAGTGAGTATGTCGACTCAGGGTATGTTGCAAAGGGATGCCAGTTTCTAACACTGAATTACACATTCTAATTTGTTTGTTGTTCAACACCAGACTGAACAATAATCCAGGTATCTCAGAGGTCTGTAAGTAAACGAATCTGGACCAGACAATCCAGTGATTGACATCATGAGTATTGCAAGGGACCATGCCACCCGATCAATTTAGTTGCCTCCTATGTTTGTTTTGTTTTGTGTTTGTTTGTTGTTTAATGCCGTACTCAGCAATATTCCAGCTATAAGACGATGGTCTGTAAAATAATCGAGTCTGGACCAGACAATCCAGTGATTGACACCATGAGCATCGAACCACGCAATTGGGATCGATGACATGCATCAACCAAGTCAGCGAGCCTGATCACCCGATCCCGTTAGTCGCCTATTACGACAAGTATGGGTTGCTGAAGACCTATTTTACCCCGGAACCTTTATTGGTATAGGTTGCTAGGGACCTGTACTAAATCTTCATACTATAGGCTTGGTTGATGTGGCACAGCGGGTTGTGTGTGCTTACCTTCCCTCCAGGCCAATAAAGAAAGCTTCATATTGTTTGCTGTAAACTGGATCAGCTGAAGCAACAAGTTCCTTCAGGGCATTCTGGAAAGCTATCATCTCCTCAAAAGAATCCTCCAACAAACTGCAGAATAAAAAAAGGACATTTTAATATATTCCATCAACAAAAACATTCTATAGCACATGGAGAAAACACATCGGACAGCCAAAGAAATCTTCAAAATCAGCTAGAACTATAAATTGTAGAAACATTTCTTTACATCTAGGCATTGAGCAACTATGGTAAATTTATCAATTTTACACAATATTTTATCATCATTTGACTTATCTTTTAAATGGAAAGACTTCCCCCGTATCCCCCTCAAAATGTTATATATGTATGCATTGCCACTCTATCCTTTTCAACATGTATATTTTTAAGGGGGGATACGGGTGGAAGTCTTACCTACCTTTTACATCTTCTTACACATTTATTTACACATGTTATTTACAACAAACAGGGTAATGGCATCTTCAAATAACATACACGATCATTATACACGTCATAGTTGATTTGTTAGTGTTTTTTGTTGCTTATTGTTGCATCAAACTGATGCTGCAGTTAGTCACCTCGCACAACAAGCATACCTGTTGCTCAACTTGCTGTGACCTGGATCCCACTTGATAGTTGAAGCCAAATGCTGATTTCAAAAGTTTACTTGGCTGACCGTGCTGACTAATGTTAAAAACAGCTACAATTTGGGCAATGAACAGCTCTAGAATGTTTAAAGGGGTTGACCAAAAACTCATCACTGGTCATGTTCAACTAGACTGCGGATCATTTCGGACTCATGGCCTATCCAACATAACCAGACTTGCGGAGAAAAGAACTAGTGTAGTCTAGAAGGACAAACAGGCTAATAGCCGCATCTATTCCTGCCACTGACAGGTATATTCATACTAGAACATCATCAAGACCGCCAACTTTCGAGTTTGAATCTGGCAATTTTTTCAATGATCATTCATCTAGAGCAATCTACAAATACATGTCCTAGGTCACACATACAGTATACATGCCAATAACAAACGAGTTTGCTTACTAACTGGACCAAACGTAGAAAATCAACTTCTGATTCAAATGTTTTTGTCATTAGTAGGCACACATAAACGCACAATAGAATGAATTAAATCCAACGTACGCTGTCGCCCTCTTTGGGTTTTTCTTTCTGAGGTCGTTGACATTGACAGTTAGCCTGACCTCACTGTTGGTGATCATATCCCGGACTTTTTGTTGATAGATGCCCTGATCTTGCTGAAATTGTGTACAAACAAATATTGAAATTTATTTCTTGATCAGCATATGTACTGGGTCCAAAAACACGCCAAGCATATTTACTGTCAAGAGTCGGCCTTAGCCATGCAAACTTGCCAGTTTCGATAACTCATTACATACCAATATGCAATCAACAAGGCCTTTATTCACGATGCTTTTGAAAACATTTACCATCAAGGGAAACATCCATTGATATTACTGATGTCCCAAAACTTAGAGTCATGGGTCTACGAGATCGTCTAAGTTCAGGAGAAAACTAACTTATTTTCTTCAAATTATGAATATACTTATAACTATTAACTCACATCATCGTCGAGAAAGTCCAGATATTCCCTCTGGATATCTCTGATACGCTGATCAAGGTCCGTAGTGGCCATGGTTGATCACAATGTTTCACTGTCACTTTACACTTCGATAACAGCAAAACAACAAAGCTAACTCCCGCCAAATGACACCATGTGAGAATTTCGCGGGGTTTTGGTCACGTGATAATGTCAACATTTTACTTTCGTAGCAACTGGTTGCTGTTGTACGCTGCCTAAGAAATATCTTGAACGGCACATTAAAATATGATGAAGAACCAGGGAACTATTTCTACAATATGTGTGTCTAAGTTTCTATGAGTTATTGTTCAAGGTGTAGCTTCCGGGGGAAAATATAACTCACCACAAAACAACAAAGAGAAAGAATATATTATATCATACATGAAAATGCCTCTCTTTCATATGACATATTGTGCACAGGAGCTGGGCTGCTTATAGGCTTATAAACGTTTTTTTCATCTTTTCAAAATAAAAAAAATTAACATGAATCATCTCAACAATGTTTGTATTTTATATGATGAAGTATCAGGTTATATCCTCTCTCCCCACACTCTACCATTATAGATAGATGCACAGCTGTATGGTGGGGGCCAAGAATGTTTTGAAAAATCGAAAAATTTGTTGTAAGAAGATCTACAAAAAATAATTTTGCCTCAAAATTTTCGACAAAACTTGTTCGCCGGAGATCCTAGGGTTTTTAAAAAATGTGTTGTGAAAAAACTTTGCTCGACTCCTTTCCGATACAAAAATGTGTGTTTTGAAGCTGTGACAGAGAAACTATTCTGTCTCTAACATTAAAGTAAGTGGCAGATCCATTAAAATGTTTCTACTTGCCTTTATTCAAACTATTATGCTAATTATTAAAGATATGGACTTTTTAACAGAACAGGTAGAGAGACTTTGGTGTCATTGGCCAGAAGGCATTGTTTGAAAAGCATTATGAGTACGTGTACTTTGTGTAATAATGCCATAGGAGAATATGGGTTATTTTTTTCTGTTCTCGGTTAATTGACTTGAAAAAATATACCCTGTCTCAATGTTCACGTATGTACTTCGGGGCTTAGCCTCACTTTACGTTGGTCCGATTTCTTTATTACTGTTACCAAAAGTCCCTATAAATGTCAATAACTGATGGCATCAGGACATGAACGTGTAACATGGTGTAAACTATCCACACACAGTCACATACACTATTTTAACCTTTATTTAAACGTCGATAACAAATGTCAAGGCAATTCGGACAGAATATACTAGTATCGTTTTTTAAGTTCAAACAGAGACCATATATCAGTATACGATCTCTGGTTCAAATGTCTTCACCACAAATTATTTGAAACTGGTGCTTAATTTATTATATATCAGGACAATCTGGGTATGGATCAATAATATGTTAGAAATGTCATCAAATGACAATGAAAATACAAGTAACATTGGTTAGTCATACATATGTAGTGGTTAGGCAATCATTATCTTTGGATTTTCCTTGGGCCATGACGTCACAAATTGAGGTCCTATTGATATAATTTCCGTTTATTATTATTTCTTTTCGCAACAACGGCATCGAAAAAATCCCAGTACACTACAATCACTTTAACTATTGTATAGTAAGGAGGTTATGTATTCCTTTTGTAAACTTTTGTCATTAAATATTTATGTGAACATCACTACATTTAGTGTCATGGCGGCGCCCGGTGATCATGTTTTCTTCCGTATGTCGTCACATTAACTAGCGCTGTAATCGTTGTCATAGGCTCAAAAGACAGGAAAAGAAGAAAATGTCGAGTAAAGTGAAACTTGTACTCACACACGGCAGGGTGTTTGTCTGGAATGCAGAAGGTAACGTATCGATATATATTTACACATGCATTGGAACAGAGGAGGGAGATAGGGTTGTGATAAGAATGACCTCCCCTTACTTAGCAGACGACGTGGGACTATTAATTCTTCATTCTCATGATAGAGCAGGATACTTTTCTAATAATTGGATATGTAAAGGGATCAGGTATAAAATATGTTTATGTTGGGAATAGGGATAAGTTTTATTCCATACTGAAATGCCTCAGGCCCATAGTACAATTCTGTTTTCGGGAGATTTTCTGGTTACAGATCCGTTTAACAGGTCATATTCTAATAACATAGCATGATAAATGAACATTGATATATTGTTTTAGAGTATCTTTATCAGTTGTTGACATGATCGATATACATTTTGGTTGAGTGGGATGTACATAAAAAGGCAGATCAATATATTTTCTTCTTAGATGGTCGTATTTTGGACAAACGAACAGAAAATGAAACTCATCTTCAATCACATTTAAACCACATTGCCCACATATTCTCAATTCTCTGGCTATGTTTCTATGTCTGCCTACTTCGATCCTAAGTCTATGAGAGCTGCATCTAAATTGAGCTAAACTTATTCTAAACCTTTCAAAATTGATATGAAACAAATATTGTTGTGGCGAAATAGTTGTCTTAAAAAGCTTGTAATAATTGCATTTCTCTGAACTTAAAACATGCGATGACCATTTTTGTAAGTTAATATCCTTAAGTCTTTGGCGTATAGATACTAAAAACGAATCGTGATTGTAGGTACACATTGATTATGCCAAACATACCCATAGCCGCAAAAGGACATTTTTCCATTGCAAGCAGGATAAGAGAGTACATAAACTTCCAGAATATATTAATGGTAATGTGCTGAAGTAATAATTTACAACAGGATATTGTGCTGGGTACGGCTTCATTTAGTGGCAAGGTAATGTAATATAGTCCAAGTTTCATGTTATAATGAAACATAGGTTTAACTTATGGTAATTATTAAATTCCTCTTTCAGATGTTCGCATTTTGCGTGAAGATTATCGCATTGTTGGCACATTGGTTGGATGTCTTCCTCGTGCCCCTCGTCAGAATGTCCATCTTGGACTACCCGTGCAGCTGATGCCTGAAGAAACTCAACTACTTCTCAGTAAAGGTTGGAGAGATTCATGTATCTCTTGAACAGGAAGTTGTTTACAACATTACATCACACCACTTTTATCAACTATAATTGATGAGTGAGGGGATGTTAAGTGGAAACATGACCTTATTGTTGTTTCAAATTATTTACATTTACTTACCACATTAGAAGGATTTTATTTGCTAACCCAATTTGCAAAGCTATGTTCCTTAATTAGTGGTACCAGAATCTGATTTTTGTGGGCTCAACTTACATCTTTGCCCTGTTCATGATTTTTAGTTTTTCAGAACCATACATGCTCTTTCACCAAAGTTGTAGACTTTTGGGTTTTCCTCCCACATCAACATGATCAAGCTGACATGTAATATAATTGTTAAAAGTTACTTTAAACCCAACTCATTCTCTCCATCATGGTGTAACCAGCAGCATATATCACTGATGCTACCATGTATTCCTACCTACCTGCAGGTGTTGTGGAGCTAGTTGATGGTGGAAGTCTTCCAGAGCCAGATGAGAAGAAAGCCGAAACATTCAGAAATATGCGAACAGAAAATTATGAGGGACAGGTGATCATTTTCAGTTGTTATATTTTTCCAGTTATTTGCTCAGTGATTACCCAGTTTTGGAAGCATCTGCCTCCTCTTTATCTCATGTCGACTATGCAATAGTTATTGACATAAGAGACTCTCCTTCCAGGGACTTCCACAGAATGGCCCTTGGGAATTGTCTTAGCATGAGGTAAAAAGACAAAGGTCACAAGGTAGAAATAAAAAGATCTCAAAGAAGTTGGTATTAACACTAACATGTCAATAGTTTTTTTTCACTAAGCAGAATAAATACCTTCTCTAAGGCTGGGCCCAGCTTAGAATATTTTTGGCCAAGGTTTGTCAAAGGTCAAGGTCAGTGTTAGAAAAATGTTTGGAAGGGGGATGTAGAAATGAGCTGTGTCTGTCATGTTTCATTTCAAGAGTAAAACTTGTAAACAGTTTAATATATCTTTGTGTACACATCAGGCAAGTTGCTTTTTGCTATTCAGGTATTTTTCATATTTTTCTTTGTGTTTCAACGCCTTGTCCTGACAGCTGCTGACATCTACCGATATTGCAATGTTTAAAATATATAAAGGCACACCCATATCAGGCTAGAAAGTTCTTGTATGTTTTTAAGGGACAGAAATTAGTTGGACATCAGTACTGAAACAAAATAATGCATTATATATTCCAGAAGTAATTAACTCCATCATGCCTGTAAGTATAATTGTCAATCTACAGTCTGTTGTAATATGGTTACAGATTGAATCCTTCAGACAAGATCGGAAACGGGAAATTTACCGCCACATGAGTAAAATAAAAGAAGGCAAGAAAGCAAAGAAGCAAAAGGTATTGGAGGAGAGGAGAAAAGCAGGGGAGAAAATAGCGCAGGAAGAAGAAACAGAGGAAGAGTTTAATGTGGAGCAGATTTCAATTCCTGCCATAGCAGAGGACAACTCCATGGTTCAGATTTTCACTGGTAACAACAAATTCATGTACATTCTTTGGCAAAAAGTGTTGTCTATGTTTGCAAGTAAAATGATGGGTCAGTTTGGCTTATAGTTGCAAGTGAAATGATGGGTTGGATAAGCTAATGGAATGAGTGAGTTGAGTGAGAAAGGTTTTACACCACTTTTAGCAATATGTCAGTTATATCATGGTGAGAGACTGGACATGGGGTTCACTCATTGTACCCACCAATACCAGCTTTTTTGTGTGACGAGTAAACACTTTCACCACTAGGTTTCCACACTGTTACTTTACTTACCTGAAACAGAAGTAATTTAGTGGTGGCCAGACCCTGTTTGGTCCTCTGACTGTAGCAGTTATGTCTAAGCTTGTGCATATTGATCAAGCTGAGTGAATGTCTAATGTGGATATTTGTTGTCCAAAGGCAATTTATCATACTCTGATAACTATGTAATGTACTTGTCGGTGAGATAGCCTCATCTATCTGTGAAATTATCCCCTATGTCTATACTAGGAATGCTGTGGGGACCAGGTTTGAATAGGTCCCCTTCACTCCATTGCTTGCTTTAAGGTGATTTTTTCGGATCGGGTGGTCAGGCTCCATGCGAATTGCATGGTGGGTGGCACTGGTTTGAGGACCAGACTATTTGAAGGCTGCTTGTGATATAGCTGGAGTATTGAAGAGTTGAGGCCAAAACAGTATTCACTCACTGATTGATTTTTGTTTGTTTTGTTTGTTGTTTAACGTTGCACTCAGCAATATTCCAGCTTTATGACAGAGGTCTGTAAATAATTAAATCTGCACCAGACAATCCAGTGATTGACTTCATGAGCATCGATCCATGCAAATTGATACAATGACATGCATCAACCAAGTCAGCGAGTTTGACAACCCGATCCCGTTTGTCGCCTCTTACGACAATCATAATCGCTTTTTACGACAAGAATTGGTTGCTGAAGACCTTTTTTCCCTGGATTTTCATGGGTCTCACTGACTGATAATGGAGTGGTTGTGTCAATATGTATTTTTAAAATGACATTACATTAGACTGCAATGACATCTTTTTTGATAATGATGTCATCATTTGTTGCCTTGCAACATTAAGATTTAGGTTTGGAGAATTAATAGAAGAAACAGTTTTCCGTAACATTTTACTGAAATAGAGAAGATATGAACACCAGGAAAGGGGTTAACAAATTATGCATGTTGATGTTAAAGTGTTGATTCACTTCTGTGAGTGCATGTTTATGTGTATTTTGTAGAGAGTCCGTGGCAAGATGTGCTCCAGCCAGTGACAGATGAATGGAAGTATCCCCAGTCAGAGCATGAACGCCTCCGAAGTCAGGTGTTCTCACACCTGTGGGGCAGAGGCTACTACATGACTGGGGGAGGGAAGTTTGGAGGAGACTTCCTTGTATACCCAGGTCAGCAAATTACATAATCAAATATGAAAAAATGTGGATTTTCAATTATTTTTACCATATTTTTACTGTTCATCATTCTTCTCTGTTCTTGTCAAGTCGGTAAACATATTTCAGTATGAACAATTCAAGTAGGGCAATTCAGGGAGAAGTAACTCTATGACTTGTCATAATTTCATTTATTTTTCAGATCAATTAAAAACATGTTTATAAAATATTCTTTTTTATTTCCATCACCAATAAAAAGTAGTAAACCTTAACTTATCTTTTTGTTCATAGTTTGATCAGTTTGATTAAGAAAATCTTGGAAATTAAAACATATCATCACTACGAATATTTAGCATCAAGCTCTTCCTAATATTGATTCCAGGTGACCCATCACGCTTCCATTCATTCTACATCGCTATCTGCAAGCTCCACCAAGTGAAGCTAACTGCTTTGGATATCATATCCATGGGTCGACTGGGATCTAATGTCAAGAAGACTGTTCTACTTTGCTCTATAGACAGTGAGGATAAAGTTGTGTGTACATCACTGCAGTGGACCGGCATCAGTTGATCACCTGTGTCCTGTGTTAGTGGGATGAAGATTGTCTTCAGTAGTCATTCCTGGATGCCTTGACTGACACGATTTCCTGAACATATGAAATATTAGTCACTGTCTGTGTATTTTCACCAAAGTTGTGATACAATATGTCCACATGGGTGCCAGTATATTAAATACAGTGATAGATGAAGATCTGGGGTAGAATAGGTCTTCAGCTTCCCATACTTGCCGTAATGGGTGACAATGCTTGTCGTAGGAGGTGAATAACAAATTTGGGTGGTCAGGCATCGTATCCCAATTGCGTGGATGGATGGTCATGATGTCAATCACTGGATTGTCTGGTCCAGACTTGATTATTTACAGACCGCCATCATATGGCCGTAGCTGGAATATTGCTGAGTGCAACATTAAACAACAAACAAACAAGTACAAACCCTGACTTAAATAAGGTTGCTGTAGAAATGTTCGATCAATCCCCAAAACTAACTTGTAATTGTAATAAGAGAAACAATTTACTGCTACAAGATACATACAACTTTCAGTAGTACTTATATTGACATATGATATGTCATATTTATATTGATTTCTAATTATCTCCTCCTGATATCCCTTGAACAGAACAGGTAAAATTGCTAAAACAAAATACCCAATTTCCCACAGACATGTTGAAAAAGATTTGGTGGTGAATAAAATATTTATATCCATTTCAACCAATTTGTTCATATTTTGTAGAGTGTGGCTGATTGGTCTAAGATATTTAAACTAGTTATATTGACACTACCAAGCTGACTTGTTCATTTCCCAATGAACGTCAGTATGTCATGTGATTATGTTGTCAATCTAGCAGAGACATACAGAACTACTTTAGAGGAATTGCTCAATGTCTAAAAATAACATTAAAAATCATTGGGGAAAACTAAGAGCGACATCGATTCAGACAGATCATGTATATGTCGGGTCACCGAAATGAAGCGTCCATTTGAAGCTGTAACAGAAATAGAAAGCACTGGGCTCCACACTGTCGTGTATTGCTTCAGGAAATCCTAAAGCAGTAATCCCCGTCATCAGCAGCCGTAGTATGACTCAAACACACACCCAAAGTTCACAGAACGTTAATATTAATCCATTTTCAGCATCAGCCGGGTCTGGATTTCTTTTCAAGTCTTTACTGGGTTCAACTTTTATTTCAAGTGAATGACATTGCCGTAGCCGCCATTTTCTGCCGTTTGTAAAACCAAGGGATGTCACTCAAAATGGAATGTTTGGGACAGATAACATCACGACCCACCGTGTTGATAAAGTTCGCTTTAAATAATTAAAATTGGATTGTTTTGTTATAATTTATGTAACTGTCAATATAAGGATTGAAGTTGTATTTGAAGACGTTCATCAGCTGATGAATACAGTGCCTCACGTGAGCAAATTTGCCATGAAGCTGTCAGATGAACAAATACAACTTTAATCCTTCAGTGTACAGATGCATCCCTCATCTGTGACAGTGACTTGCCACATGCCAGGTCCACACTCAAGGGGTTCACAAAGTTGTACAAGTAAAGGTCAATGCAATACATCACTTCAGCCTTTCCTTCCACTTAATACTGACACATGATGGTATATCAAAGATACAAGCAAAACACATCCCCCATTTAATCGGTCTGGAAAAGCATTGTTTCACATCAGAATATATTGCAATGTTCCATTTCAAAAGTTCAATGTCGGATGAAAAGCTTAACTCCTGAAGTTTTGAGATATAGCCTGAGAAATCAGGTAAGTTGATTTTGTCAGATGGAAAACTTGCACCCCACCCCACCCCTAAACTTAAGGGATTAAGATTTTTTTATCCACACGATCGCTAACAGCTGCTGATAAGGGAGGGGATACAGCTTGTAATGTACTTGGTATCACAAAGGCAATATGTGTCAATGCATTGTTTCACTTTTTTCACTAGATTTGTATTTGCTTTGTTGTCGGTAGGGGACTTTCAGAAAGTTTTTCAAAACATTGTTCTGTCATTACATTAGATTTTCCACCTTGACATGGCAAAGGACAGACTCAAAAGTATGGATTGTTTTGTTTTTTGTTCAGATCAACATTCATTTAATAGCGACCACTTTATGCTAGCCTTGGCGAAGCTGTTGGAGTGGGACAGGAATTATAGAATTTAAAATACCTGGTACGCACAATACATACCGCTGTTTTTCACCCCCAAAGAAGAAAGTAAGAGATTTATTTCTATGTCGAGAAATATCAGCTTTGTTATCAGGGAATGAAACCATGCCTTAACTGTTGGACTGTTATCCATTAAATTATACATCAATGTGTCGCACGTTTGACACTTTGAACAATATTGTCCTTATATCAGAGGTTGGAGGTGGAAAGCCTGAGGTGATGCAGGCGACATTTACAACAATTCAGACTTTGGCTAAATACACAAATATGGATATGGCGTTGACAAACCTAGAAGCATGATAGGACAAATCTGGTACTCAAACCCACAATCATGTTTCTGGCAGGCCTGAGGGATGCATCCCTGCACAGGAAGTATTTGCGAATTAAAGAGGCCACTAGTTTTCCAGCAATGCATGACCTAATGTAAAAGATATACTCAGTCAATGAACATTTGGTGAATGAAACTTGGCCTGATTTGCTTTTGGATTTCCTTTGGGTTTTGTCAAGGTGAGACATGATAGCAAATAGTTATGAAAGTTTGCTTACTTATACATTAAGCAGAGATAGACACAGCCATTAGTCTTGTTAGTCCGAGACTAGTAACAAATCCAGAGGGACCAGTTTTACATAAGCCTCAAGTCCAAATTCAGATGTATCTGATTTGACCAAGTGTCTACCTGTTTAAGGCTTTTTGATCCCTCCTTCATTAACAAATGATGGCAAAACCATATTAGTTTTATAACAGTTTATTTGTTTCAACACTTGGCATTCACTAACAATGACAATGAATAGCCTCTTCATGAACTTGCCATGCAAAAATGTATTCACATCTTCCTAGACCACTTGTTATGGTCCTGTCACATGCCAAGTTCATGAAGAAGAGATAAAACATTCACAAGGTTGATTCATACTCCATAAAAATGTCCCATTTTTTCCCGTCCACAATTCTATATTAAAATAAGCTATTTCAATCAAAATAATCAGGTATTCATTAAAAATGTCATTCCAATCAACCCTGTCAAGCATGTCCATTTATTGTAAATTTCACATTTACAAATGAATAAAACAATGTCTCTTAATCAAGCAGGACATGCACATATGTCTTGTTCACAATCATGAAACATATGTACAAGAGTGAACAAAGACTCATTCATACCAATCTCATTCACACACTAAAATTCTTTGGTTTTGAAAGACTCTTTTGGCGAGAAAATAAATACTTGTGGTATGGCAGTACAAGATAATTTCAGGATGGATTTCTATACTGATTCATTTGATTCCATAAATTAATATAGGATTGATGTGTAGGTCATTATGTAATGATCTGAATGAGCTACATGTGTATTTAACAAAATACTGTATGTTCCGTGGAGGAATGTCTTTTGATATGATATGCATCGCTGAGATCATTTCATATATGCAACAATTGTTCTGTAAAAAGAACCTAGTATCAAATCTTTGAGATTCACATCCTGAGTTATTGCTGTAGTTGTCACAGATGTGTTTGCGTCATTGTCACCTCAAGAATACTGTGGTTAATTTGTTGATGCCAGCACCATGTCATTATGAACACATTAACCGTATTGCACTTCCGTCAGTCTGTTGGTCAGCTCAAGCTGCATCTACAGTATGGATGGATTAGCTTTGTCCAGCAAAGCTGCTGTGGGGGTGAAGGTTTCTTTTTGCATTAACTGCTATAACCTTCGAAGATTTTTCTTGCTCTTCTTTGAGCCTACCGAGTCCAGTTTGGATTTCTTGAGTGCCACTGGCACACAGTTCCGAGCTCCATGGTGCTCACAGAAACACTTCACACAGAAATCAAATTTACATTTGTCGTTCATACACACACCACGATCACAATGTGTTTTGGCTGCTGAATTACACCTTGGACAGTGTCGTAATGTGTCGTCGCTTTTCAGAGAAGAAACAACCTGAAATCAGATGTTTGACACTTAGTACTTTCAAGTAATACATCAAATTCATTTCAGTTGACATGGTTGAAAAACACTTAATACAAAAGGTTTGTTGGAGCACTACATTATTTAATTCTAGATGCATTAAACCTGTGTTAGAAATTGGGACTAGCCCTTTAATCCGTGCGAAACTGCCCAATAGTCAAGGTATCATGAGGACTAATAGAAATTTGCCCCATTTAATAAGTGTTTTTCTATATGTTATAAGGACCAGTGGACTAAAAATATTAGTTTCTAAAGCTTATTAAACTATTCTAAACTCCTACCACTAGTGCTTATCATCGTTACTTCAGAATGTTCTTGTTTACTACCAGTGGTCTTGTGCAATGTATTGTATATGTACATACCTGAGCATGCTGAGTAAACAGGTTGACAACTTGCATCTTCTTTGGTGATCGAGGTGTGTGTTGAACTGATGTCAGGAGTCCTCCTGGTGTTAGGCGTCGGTGTCGCAGCTTTGATTTTCCGAGATTCTCCTGCAAAACATGATACAGAACTTTTAGAATTGATTACAAGTTACAACGATACTGTGTTCATGATAATGATGGGAACATGCATATGAAGTTGTAAATTTCACATTCAAGTATAGCCTGCTTCAGTGACAGGTCAATGGTGGCATCAAGAGTTTAACAGCAGTACATGTTAAGGTGGTGAAGCCTACCTTTCCAACAGAGGCAGCTCTTGACTTGAGAGATTTGATGTACTTGTGACGTCTAGCACTAGCTCGGGTATCTGTGTCACAAATAGACTTCCACTGCCGGGATACAGCTCTCATCCTGCACAAAACATGACAAATTTATGAAATAGGTAATGCTTTCAACATACAAGGGAGTATATTAGATGCTGTATGTCCAAATACTGAGTGAATTGTGATTGTGTATGTGATCAACAGCAACATACTTTTTATGAATTATGTAGTTCATGATAAAAGTTGATAAACAGAACCAATAGTGAAGGAAGATACATCGAAACTAGTGATTTACTGCACAGTTAAACTGGTGTCATTGATTTCAAATAGTTTGAACATTCCTGACAAACATACCTGCACAATACTTTTGGTTCCAGGTATGAAAGTACAAGAGACACTCCTTCAATGCTCCTTGAATGCATTTCTGTCAAAATATCAACCCTCTCCAGTCCCACCTTCCTCCCAATAAGACGGTCAGGTTCTTTAGGGGAGAAGTGTTTGATGACATCATGTATGCCAACCGAATCCAACCTGTCCGCTAAACCAGATGCACCAAAACTGGAGTCAAGGTCACCAGACTCAAATTCCAAACTGTATCTTGGAAAGTCAGAAAGACGTTTATGCCGCTTCTCAAACACTTCTTCCTCTTCTGGAATTTCCCAGTCATGTTCAAGGGAGGTTGAACAGGCACAATCAATTTCACATATATCGTCACATTTTGAGTTATGTAATGGATAGGCTTTATCCTCTGGTAAGTCACAGTCTGTTGAAACCATGGGTGTGGTTTCAAGAAAAGTAGAGTCATTTAAAAGGTCTGTTGATGTCATAGTATCCACAAGAGAATCAGGATAACCACTGTCATTACCAGGTGAATACAAGCTCAAAGGAGAGAGTGATTTTGATGCCATTGGAGTACTCGTGCTAATCGAGCGACTCTTGATTGCATCGGTAAAGTCATTTGAACAGTCCATTTTGCTGAAGTGAAGAGCAGGCATTGACACCTTCCGAGATCTCTGGTAGCCTGTACCTGCCATCTGAAGTAAATTAAAAATTGTTTCTTTATTATCAAATACATTTAACAGCATTGTATCAAGAACTTATTTCATTTTTGTTTTAAATAGATGGGTGCTACATATACTATTAATAGAAAAAACATGTAAAGTTAACATGTATAGATCTACACACTATTAAACTGAAATTTTACATGTCACATTATTATTGCCCAATATTGGGTCAGTATGCTGTTTACAAGTAAAAAGTTAATTTAAAAAATACAATCTAACCAATGCTGTTTTGGTAATGACTGGTCACAATCTCTTTTTTCAATATATCAGGTAGATGTATTTTTTTCACACTGCATCAGTAACAGGTTTTTTTTAAACACCCTTGAAGTTAACCAGTATTGGTTTCTCACCACACTTGGGGTGACTGGTCACACACCTGTAGGTAACACACCTGTAGGTTCAGGGGCCATGTGTTGTCTTGTGCCAATAGGCTATTACATCATGCATTTGCATTTTCCTGCCTTTCGTGCTAGTATGATTTTTGGTGGATATATTCTCATGGGCACCTTCTAATGTGATATTCATTCGAACAATCTACTTAACTTTGGACCTACAATAAATCAAGGCCAGTTTTGATATTTAGCGTCTAGGCTAAAGCATATCTTCTAAGCATTCATCGATAGATGATAAAATGCATGGTTCAGAACCCGACATTTAATTTCAAATATTGTTACACAAATTATTTCATATTATGTTTCGGTTACATCGGACATCTTAACATAGTTGTACTACACTAGGCCTTTTGAACGAAAAATATCCTGAGATGACGCTTGTGAATCTTTTGACCCCCGCCCACCCCGCATTGTCCATTTTGGGGCGCGCCTTTCAAACAGCCATGAAATCCATTTGGCTAAATTTACACGTACGATATGAGTATTTTATGAGTAATCCGGTAGTAAATATTGTTTGTAAATCAGATATACACGATTTAACACTGTATTTGTTTCAAGTGGTCAAGATTGATGGGAAACCAGAACGCTCGTGCTTGTTCAAGCCAAGCGGGAATGACTCCGCGCTGTACTCACCATGTCGTGGGGAAATATCCGTTTGTAGAGTCTTATCTTATTAGAATTGGTATAAAATGAGTTCAGATGATCAACAACATTTGATAAGTGCCGTTGAAAAGTAATATCATTGCTCGCATAGTGATCTTGGAGAAATATTTTTGCAACGTACACCAAGAACAGCACCCATAGATTGAAGACGTTCAAATCGTTCGCCAAAGTACACGCGACCAATCAAATCGCTAGAATTCGCAATTGTTTATCTCGCGAGATACACAACTTACAACGCGATTTGACGAGACCCCCACTGGCGTTCGTCTTTCCGGTGTAAACAAGAGCACGTGAAATTCAAAGTAGGAGTGCACATTTTTGTAGTTTTGTTCGGTGAAATTGTAAAAGTAAACAGGGATTATTATAGAATGAAGTTAAATGTTCTCCTCGCGAAAGTTTATATCATGTCACTGTATATCACATATTCGATTCACCCCGTTTAGTTGTGAAATTGTCCGTATTTCGCGCATTATCCTTTGAACGGAAATAAAAGATTGTCATGTTCATTATAGTAGTGAAGTTATATATTATAGGTCATCTTAATATACATTGGTAGTAGCGAATATATCGTAAGACTGGTTTGTGTTAGATTTTTTCTAATGTAGTTGCCATAGATAGATCATTGTATAGATATATGATTAGTCGTCACTCTTCCTCAACTATTCGACACAAAAATAATAGTGTCCGTATCCTGGCTTTATGTCGATGATCTGTAATATTTGTTTATCACTCCTGATAGATATCAGTAGTGATAGTATCACTTAACAACATATATGTATATGAACACATTTTATTTAGGATTATCAGCGGAATATTGTCCAGCGTATATACCGTATCTATATAGTTCTTTTAGTCGCCAGAATGCTTGGTTGTTATGTATTTTATCTGAATTATTGTACCATTACAGAAAAGCTATATAATGGAGCAGTCCGGAAAGGAGACCCCAGGTGGTACAACTAAGCAACAGACGATGGTGTACATTTGTGGAGGTAAATTTCACTGTCAATGTTTAAACTAATACAATGAAATAAGATAATAATTCCTCCAGGTTTGCCTGACACATGTCTTCAGTCTTTAGAAGGAACCCCTTCCTTTGATTATTTTGCCAATTTGACAAGAGGTAGGTTTGTATCTATTAAGGTTAGAATTTGTTTGGTTTGACAGTATAAAGGACCAGTAGTAGGTATGTGTTACCTTGTTCACTTGCTAGAACTATCCAACTCCAGCTTCAGGACCACAATAAGGAACGATAGGACTCATTCCAAATTTATACCCTCCATTGTCAACACATGTTCTTGAGCTAATTCCAGTAATTCCAATTATGACAAGCACACTTTTATTGTTTTACAGTTGTAACTAATCTATACAGGGCTATTGTTTTCAAAGGGGAATTAGGATGTCTCATTTCACTGATTTTGCCTGCTTCTGGTGGGTGGGCTGTTACATCACCTGGAGCCATCACTTTTGTAAGGATTCTGACCCTGAGTGGTTGACTATCTGAGAAAGGATGAACAGTACTCTTTGTCAAGGGTGTTTGTTCTAGGGTTTAATCTAAATGCATAAATTATAATCCTTCTCATGATGATGCTTGGACCGAAAGAAGTGAAAAATGTGTTACCTACCACTGAGGTTAACAAACATTAGTGTCAGGTTTGAATTTCCAGTACATTCACTGACTTTTAAGATTATTTAAAATTACAGTTTATAGTTTTGTCAAATTGGTAATTTCACTATTTATAAAGAAACGACTTCCATATGTGTATGTAGAGTGGATCTGCCAACAGATAATGAAAGAATAGATGCAAAGCTTCACAAGTGATTTTTTAAATACCCTTATCATCTACTGGTGACACTGGATAACAGTCTAGTCTTCTTGGATAGTGTTTTATATATCAAATATTTTGACAATAGATAATAAAAGTAAAAATTAAACATATCTTGCCAAGGCTTTTAATTATTATTTAATGCTCTCTTGGTAGATCCACTCTATATAAATATACTGAAAATAGTTTGCTGATATTGGATAAGCAGGATCTTCTCATGTGTTTTTATTCTACCAGCAAGACATCAAAGAAATGTATCCAATTAGAGATATGTAGAAATGTCAAACTGAGTTGGTCTCCAGTTTAAAACAGCATTAGATGGTTGATATATTGTTAAGTCATACTATTATCAACAACATTTCTGTGCAATCAGATATTTTTGTTATCAGGAATGACTGCATATATTGGAGTCCACAATAACAATTCTTATATGATGACAGATAGAAATGACCCAGCCTTTGGTATAGTGTTCTACCCTATAAGCAACTTTTATATTAACAAAAACAAAAATATTTTGGTAAGGAATTGAATGGCAAACAAAATCCCATCTGTTTTATTGCCCCTTAAAACAATAAATACAGATGACAGTGCAGACAGTAACAAAGCATGTCATTAGTATGATGGCATTTATTGCCTTCCTCTACTGGCAAGGTGTTGAGACTGGATAACAGCAACTGAACAAGACTTGATACATTTTATGGGGGTATTGTTCTCAGGAACCGTCTGTTGGTGATCTTTTCACTAACCTAAACACTTACAGAACAAAGTTGGAACTTGTACGGTACTTCAGTTATTGGCCTTATAGGGTTTGAAAATATATGTATCACATTTAATAGTAAGTTGGACTTATTTCTGTTTTATATTTCTCAGTGACTATGGAATAGTAGATTTGTTATAGAACACATAGCACACAAATGTTTTGAAATAACCCAAATATCCATGGGATGGGATCTGTCGTAGGTCTCTCTTATGAGATTAACATGAAGGTAACTCAGTGCATTACTGTATGAAAAAGTGTTTAAACATGATGTCATGACTATATTACTGTGACAGAGAAGAAGGTGATTGGGCCTAATTAATTATTTCCCTTTTCTCAATATGATACAATGAAAAAGTTGTCATCCTTAACATATCTTGCCTTACTCTAACATTCTTGCTAAGGAGTAAATTTTTCAACTGCTTGTATTAGATATGATACTTTGATGGAACGTTTGTATGTATTTTGTAAATTTAAAAATTTGTTTTATCTTTTGGGACATTTGTTGAAATAGTGTCGTCTCTGTAAATGTGGGAATACTCCATGTTTGTTTATATTTTAACTATATAATTGTAAATGTCAGGAGAATCCATCTAGGATTAGTTGTTACATTTTTCAAATGGTCTTGATAAACAATTCCAGATTTGTAATACATGTATCTGTTTTTATGATTGCAGATATTGACAGTCATGTGATGTAAGCTATTCAAAACTCTTTTTTCAGAATGTCACCAGGAAAATGAGATCCGAGCACGTGATCCAATCCGATGTCGCGAGTGTGGCTACAGAATAATGTACAAGAAGAGGACAAAAAGAAGTATCCTTTTTTTCAAACAGCCTTATTCATACCAAGACATTCTGCGCATGTGCATGTTATGTCAGAACACTACCAATGTCCTCAGTAACCTATGCTTGTCCTAAGAGTCTGCTAAATCAGATCAGGTGGTGAGGCTCCACAATGTGTGTCATATTGTCCTAATGGTGTTGATTGTTGCTCCTGGTTCCAGTCACTGGCTTGACTGGTCCAGACACAATTAATGACAGGCTGCCTTGGTAGCGATTGGAAATAACAACATTCATTTAATCCCTCAGTCAGCTGAATTTATTAGTGCACACATGCCATAGTGTGAAGAAAGTTTTATATATGTAACATTTAGTCATCACTGGTACCATTAGGAAGCAAGTATATTGCTATACAATAATTTTTGGTTAAATTACAATGCTAGACTTTTGCAAGTTCTCATATGAGGTATTACAAATATGAATGGAATAATAAATTTTATGTTTCGGTGTAGTAAGGACTGAGAGTTTTTATGGTAAGAAGTTTGAGTGTTGTGTTCACCAGGTGTTCTCTCACAATTGATGGTTAATGATTATTGTTTTTTGCCTTGTTGCTGTTTTCTTTAAGAGAGTAATCCAAAATAATTTGGTCAACAAAACATTCAGGTAACGTTTCTTGTGCATGTATTGCATATGTATATGTAGCTAAAGCAAATGCAGGGGCGGTCGGGTAGCCTGGTGGTTAAAGCGTTCGCTACTCACGCTGAAGATTCCCGACCTCGGTACAATGTGTGAAGCCCATTTCTGGTGTCCCCCGCCGTGATGTTGCTGGAATATTGCTAAAAGCGGAGTAAAACCATACTCAGTCAGTAAAGCAAATGAATGTGGCGAAATACTGATGAATTTCTATGAATTGACTTTTAGATCTACTAATCAGTTACATGATCTGGGTTTCACCCAAGAGATAAGAATCAGCTCAACCTGCATCTCATAGGATTTATCCTACATTTTGTGACTGGCTGTGATTTTGCTGAAATACTTTTCAAAACAGAGCTCTGAAGTGAATCACAAATGTATTACTTCCTTAACCATTTCACAGTGATTGTATTTGATGCAAGATGAAGACTGCAGCATCATCATTTCATCATTGATCATCATGGTAATCCAGTACAGGAATTACGGTAGTCATCTCAAGCTTGTAGCTTCCCCCCTCATCTATTCATATGGTCCCTCTTGACATGATGCAGTGGAAGGAGTTTTGTGTTGGCATGTTTCACCAACCATGATTATGTTATTTGCCTTAAGATGGTAATTCTAAAATTAGCCAAATATGTCCATTTTAAAAATATATGTTTTATGTATGTCTGATATTAACTTTATGCATATTATATGTTTCATGTACAAGAAGTAAATATTCAAAAGTCATCAGGAAAATAATCAGTGTTCTCTAAGCGAGTATAGGAGAGATAATTATGGTGGAACAATGTGTTTCAAGCGCAAAAAAAGAAGAGATAAGTGTTAAAAATACCTACCATTGTAAGACATCAAAATATCTATCTTTGTAATACTTCAAAGAAGTACTGACCAACATTTAATGAATCAAAAACAAGTTACAGAGAGAAATCAAGAAATGCCTTTAACAATAGTTTTCATCATCTCTCTAAGGCATATTATAGTGATAATGGTTTCCATGGTGTCGTTTTATATATATGGATGGATAATGGATTAAGTCAACTTAAGTGGATCTGGATTCTAACTGCAATATCAAGTAACAATACTTGGAGTGTGTTTTTTTCCACATGCTCTTGTAAAGCAGTTATTT